GCCCACAAACAGGCGGTGGTTGGAACCAAAAATCTCACATTTGGACTCATCAGACCAAAGGACAGATTTCCACCGGTCTAATGTCCATTGCTCGTGTTTCTTGGCCCAAGCAAGTTTCTTCTTATTGGTGTCCTTTAGTAGTGGTTTCTTTGCAGCAATTCGACCATGAAGGCCTGATTCACGCAGTCTCCTCTGAACAGTTGATGTTGAGATGTGTCTGTTACTTGAACTCTGTGAATCATTTATTTGGGCTGCAATCTGAGGTGCAGTTAACTCTAATGAACTTATACTCTGCAGCAGAGGTAACTCTGGGTCTTACATTCCTGTGGCGGTCCTCATGAGAGCTAGTTTCATCAAAGCACTTGATGGTTTTTGCAACTGCACTTTCAAAGTTCTTGAAATGTTCAGTATTGACTGACCTTCATGTCTTAAAGTAATGGTCACCATAGCAACACCCACCCGTAGTATGCGCTCCAGCAGATATATCTCACTGGTCATCCCCAAAGCCAACACCTCCTTTGGCTGCCATTCCTTCCAGTTCTCTGCTGCCAATGACTGGAACGAACTGCAAAAATCTCTGAAGCTGGAGACTCTTATCTCCCTCACTAATTTTAAGCATCATTTGTCAGAGCACCTTACCGATCACTGCACCTGTACACAGCCCATTCTGTAATTAGCCCACCCAACTACCTCATCCCCATATTGTTATTTATTTTGCTCATTTGCACCCCAGTATCTCTATTTGCACATCACCTTCTGCACATCCGTCACTCCAGTGTTAATACTAAATTGTAATTATTTTGCACTATGGCCTATTTATTGACTTACCTCCATAACTTACTACATTTGCACACACTGTATATAGATTTTCTATTGTGTTATTGACTGTACGTTTTGTTTATTCCATATGTAACTCTGTGTTGTTGTTGTTTTTATTGCACTGCTTTGCTTTATCTTGGCCAGGATGCAGTTGTAAATGAGAACTTGTTCTCAACTGGCTTACATGGTTAAATAAAGGTTAAATAAAAATACAAATAAAAAAATAAACAAAAATGATTTACTGTTGTTTCTCTTTGCTTATTTGAGCTGTTCTTGCCGTAATATGGACTTTTACCAAATAGTGCTATCTTCTGTATACCCCTCCTACCACAAATTAACTTTTAAGAAGGCACACCTGTTAATTGAAATGCATTCCAGGAGACTACCTCATGAAGCTGGTTGAGAGAATGCCAAGCGTGTGCAAAGCTGTCATCAAGGCAGAGGGTGGCTATTTGAAGAATCTCAAATATAAAATATATTTTGATTTGTTTAACACTTCTTTGGTTACTATATGATTCCATATGTGTTATTTCATAGTTTTGATGTCTTCACTATTATTCTACAATGTAAAAATAAATAAAAACTCTTGAATGAGTAGGTGTGTCCAAACTTTTGACTGGTAGTGTACATGCAAATAGTCCGGGTTGCCATTTGATTAGCTGTTCAGGAGTCTTATGCCTTGGGGGTAGAAGCTGTTAAGAAGCCTTTTGGACCGCTTGCCATGCGGTAGCAGAGAGAACAGTCTATGACTAGGGTGGCTGGAGTCTTCGACAATTTTTACGGCCTTCCTCTGACACTGCCTGGTATAGAGGTCCTGGATGGCAGGAAGCTTGGCCCCAGTGATGTCCAGGTGAAATCTATGAACCCTTATTGATATCACCTGTTTATTCCACTTCGATCAGTGTAAATGAAGGGGAGACAGTTTAAAGAATGATGTTTAAGCCTGGAGACAATTGAGAAGGATTGTGTGTGTGTGCCATTCAGAGCAAGAATGGGCAAGACAAAAGTTGTGCGTTTGAAGGGGGCAGTGGCGATTTTAGCATGTAAATCTTGGTGGGGCAAACAAAACAAAAAAATGTTTGACGCATGCCAGCAAGCCTCTACACAACACAACACTAAACAATACATTAATGTTTTGTACACTCAGTGCCTATATAGGGTTAGATGGCGGTGCAATGTCCTTTTTGTGAAAGGCAGCAATACGCGACATAGCGTCTAGTCAGCCGGAAAGCCACACGAAGAAGAATTGGTGCTCGTGCATCCGCGGTTCTTCTACCGCGCGTTCACGACTCTGGCTCACTTATTGCATGATGGCGGAGGGAGGCGGACCCGAGTCGGGTAGTGCGGCAGACCCCGATCCGGAGCCGGTAGCCGCTCAAATACCGACACCTTCAACCGAAAGTCAAAAGCAGAGTATCGGAACACTTCTCAAAACAACTCTACGAAAGGGAGACGAATGGTAAGTTGTTTTGAATGTAACGTTAGCAGCTAGCTAGATAGCTAGCCAATAATAGCTAATATGCTAGCGAGCTATCTACTTTCAGTTCATGGGAACTGAAAGTAGCTAGCAATAGCATAGGCCCGTCAGATTGGTAAACCGGTTCCCATTGAACAGGAAATGGTTTGATTTTTGGAGTTGGGCCAGGGCAGACATGAACAAGCTAATGTTAGCTACGTCTTCTCATCCGATAATATTTAGTTTCTCGACCACTGCAACCTACCAGTAGTAGTAGTAGTAGTAGTATTAGTTAGCTAGCTGTGTTTAGTTAATAGCTAAGGTTCGTGTTAATAGCTAAGGTAGTTAACTAGCAAGCCAAGGTATTGCGCAAGTTAGCCATGTCTGCTCACATTAGCGTACTAGCCGACTAACTAGCTACGACATGACGAGGTGTAGTAAAAGGCCCCTGTTCAATACAATAAAGTGGAGTGACTGCGAATTAATGCTAGCTAGTTAGCTTGCTATCTTGCTAGCTAGCTAATGCTTTGTCATTGGAACTGGATAACAACCAGCTACTTGCCCTCTCAGATATAGGTTTCCAGGCAAAATATTTACAAGGTTTTAACTTTGGAAACCAAACTGTTCCTGTATCTATTTTGCTAACGTTAGTTAGCAAAATCAGTACTGACCAACAAGGGAGGGGAAACAACCAATTGGCTCAGCTAGAGCTAGGCTAACCACAAAGGCACTACCGTACCAGTTGTCTTGAGTTGAGAAAGTAGGCTGCCGGGTCATGTAATGTTATGATGTTTAGATCTAACGTTAGCTAGATGAATTCACAAAATGTTTGTATAGCTGAAGTAAACAATCATTTTAGTTGGGATCGATGACAAGTTTGATATGCACCTGGGGCAAGGCTCCAGACAACTTGCATTGTTTTGGCCTCTCAGCCTGTCTGAACAGGGTAATGTCAGCTGGGCAGAAATTGGCAGCTATTGGCCTATGGCTATCTGACTGACTAGTTTGCTGATTTTTGACCTAAGTCTCATGTTGAAGTAGCCTAGCTAATTTAGTCACTTGATAATTTTTTCTATTCTAATAAGGGAGTTACTTACAAATAAAGTTTCCCACTGCCTGGACTTTGGACCATGTGAAATCCTGCTAACAAGTTTATGCAGTGGAAGATATTCTTACTTGAGATTAAGACATCCTAGCTCACTGTTACTATATGTGAATGTGACCTAGAGCACAAGAAGGTTTTGTTTTGGAGTTGTTTTGAAAAATATAAACTTGACAAGCAACAATTTAAAATATTCTACTGAGTTACAGTTCATAATAAGGAAATAAGTCAATTGAAATAAATTCATTAGGCCCTAAACTATGGATTTCACATGATTGGGAATACAGATATGCATCTGTTGGTCACAGATGCCTTAAAAAAGGTAGGGGTGTGGATCAGAAAACCAGTCAGTATCTGGTGTGAGCACCATTTTCCTCATGGAGTGGGACACATCTCTATCACATAGAGTTGATCAGGCTGTTGATTGTGGCCTGTGGAATGTTGTCCCACTCTTCTATGGCTGCGCGAAGTTGCTGTATATTGGCAGTACATGTCGATCCAGAGCATCCCAAACATGCTCAATGGGTGACATGTCTGGTGAGTATGGAAGAACTGGGACATTTTCAGCTTCCAGGAATTGTGAACAGATCCTTGCGACATGCAGCCATGCATTATCATGCTGAAACATGAGGTGATGGCGGTAGATGAATGGCACGAAAATGGGCCTCAGGATCTCGTCACGGTATCGCTGTGCATTCAAATTGCCATCGATAAAATGCAATTGTGTTCGTTGTCTGTAGCTTATGCCTGCCCATACCATAACCCCACCGCCACCATGGGGCACTCTGTTCACAACATTGACAGCAGCAAACCGCTCTCCCACACGACGCCCTACACGCTGTCTGCCGTCTGTCCGGTACAGTTGAAACCGGGATTCATCCGTGAACAGCACAGTTCTCCAGCGTGCCAGCCGCCATCGAAGGTGAGCATTTGCCCACTGTAGTCGGTTACGACGCCGAACTGCAGTCAGGTAAGACCCTGGTGAGGGTGACGAGCATGCAGATGAGCTTCCCTGAGACGGTTTCTGACAGTTTTGTGCAGAAATTCTTCAGTTGTGCAAACCCACAGGGTGGCTGGTCTCAGGATCTGGGCTGGCGTAGTTAGACGTGGTTGTGAGGCTGGTTGGACGTACCGCCAAACTCTCTAAAATGACGATGGAGGCAGCTTATGGTAGAGAAATGAACATTCAATTCTGGCAACAGCTCTGGTGGACATTCATGCAGTCATCATGCCAATTACATGCTCCCTCAAACCTTGAGACATCGGTGGCATTGTGTTGTGACAACTGCATATTTTAGAGTGGCCTTTTATTATTGTCCCCAGCACAAGGTGCATCTGTGTAATAATCATGCTGTTTAATCAGCTTCTTGATATGCCACACCTGTCAGGTGGATGGATTATCTTGGCAAAGGAGAAATGCTCACTAACAGGGATGTAAACAAATTGAAATGTGTGCACAGAATTTGAGAGAGAAACACTTTTGGTGTGTATTTTTAAAATTTTATTTAACCTTTATTTAACCAGGTAAGCCAGTTGAGAACAAGTTCTCATTTACAACTGTGACCTGGCCAAGATAAAGCAAAGCAGTGTGATAAAAACAACACAGAGTTACATATGGGGTAAACAAAACAAAGTCAAAAATACAACAGAAAATATATATACAGTGTGTGTGAATGTAGTAAATTATGGAGGTAAGGCAATAAATAGACCATAGTGCAAAATAGTTACAATTTCGTATTAACACTGGAATGATAGATGTGCAAATAGAGATACTGGGGTGCAAATTAGCAAAATAAATAACAATATGGGGATGAGGTAGTTGGATGGACTAATTACAGATGGGCTGTGTACAGGTGCAGTGATCGGTAAGCTGCTCTGACAACTGATGCTTAAAGTTAGTGAGGGAGATAAGAGTCTCCAGCTTCAGAGATTTTTGCAGTTCGTTCCAGTCATTGGCAGCAGAGAACTGGAAGGAATGGCAGCCAAAGGAGGTGTTGGCTTTGGGGATGACCAGTGAGATACACCTGCTGGAGCGCAGACTACGGGTGGGTGTTGCTATGGTGACCAGTGAGCTAAGATAAGACGGGGGATTTGCCTAGCAGTGATTTTATAGATGACCTGGAGCCAGTGGGTTTGGCGACATTTCTGGGATCATTTATTTCAGCTCATGAAACATGGGACCAACACTACATGTTGCATTTATATTTTTGTTCAGTCTATGTTGAGAGATGGAGAAATACTCCAAATAAGTGAATACTAACATTGGTAGACATAATGTAGGAACTAGTGGTACAAGTTGTCTGCATGCAAGGTCCTTTGTAGCTCAGTTGGTAGAGCATGGCGCTTGTAACGCCAGAGTAGTGGGTTTGATTCCCAGGACCACCCATACATAAAATCTATGCACGCGTGACTAAGTCGCTTTGGATAAAAATTTCAGCTAAATGGCATTTATTATTATATATTATTACTTTTATCCATGTGTATTCCACTTTAACTTGCAAGTTGTCATCCTCATTCCTCACAATACAGTTTCTTACCAAGGCACTACTTTTTGCAGGTTTCTGATTGATAGCAGGTGGTTTAAGCAGTGGAAGAAGTATGTGGGATTTGACAGTTGGGATATGTACAATGTTGGAGAGCACAGTCTCTATCCCGGCCCTGTTGACAACTCAGGCCTGTTCTCAGGTAATGCAGGCATCATATTCACTGACACATTCTTACACAAAATTTCACATGGTTAAATCTTAATCTGCGAGTATGCCTATAATGTGTTTTCTTTTCTCTGATTCTAATAAGTACACAACTAGTTATAAACAAGCACTCTAAATACTTGCTCACTCTAAATACTTGATGTCATAACTTACCTTTACTCTATTTCTTCTCAGACCATGAGACCCAGATCCTGAAGGAGCACCTTATAGATGAGCTGGACTATGTCCTTGTGCCCACTGAGGCTTGGAACAAGCTTGTCTGCTGGTATGGTTGCCTTGAGGGCCAGCGGCCCATCGTCAGAAAGGTGATGCTATTATCTTTAACAAATATTTTCACCCTTTTGCTTTAGTCTCTCTCTAACCTTGCTCTTTCTCTCCATAGGTGGTTGAACATGGCATGTTTGTCAAGCACTGTAAAGTCGAGGTCTATCTGTTGGAGCTAAACTTGTGTGAGAATGACAACATGGACAATGTGGTCACACGTCATTTCAGCAAAGCTGACACTATAGGTAAAGGGGGTTTACTGTACTGTGGGCCAGAGAGCAAACTGACACGTGAATTAACTACAGTGGGGAGAACAATTATTTGATACGCTGCTGATTTTGCAGGTTTTCCTACTTACAAAACATGTAGAGGTCTGTAATTTTTATCATAGGTACACTTCAACTGTGAGAGACAGAATCTAAAACAAAAATCCAGAAAATCACATTGTATGATTTCTAAGTAATTAACTTGCATTTTATTGCATGACATAAGTATTTGATACATCAGAAAAGCAGAACTTAATATTTGGTACAGGAACCTTTTTTGCAATTACAGAGATCATACGTTTCCTGTAGGTCTTGACCAGGTTTGCACACACTGCAGCAGGGATTTTGGCCCACTCCTCCATACAGACCTTCTCCAGATCCTTCAGGTTTCGGGGCTGTCGCTGGGCAATACGGACTTTCAGCTCCCTCCAAAGATTTTCTATTGGGTTCAGGTCTGGAGACTGGCTAGGCCACTCCAGGACCTTGAGATAATTCTTACGGAGCCACTCCTTAGTTGCCCTGGCTGTATGTTTCGGGTCGTTGTCATGCTGGAAGACCCAGCCACGACCCATCTTCAATGCTCTTACTGAGGGAAGGAGGTTGTTGGCCAAGATCTCGCGATACATGGCCCCATCCATCCTCCCCTCAATACGGTGCAGTCGTCCTGTCCCCTTTGCAGAAAAGCATCCCCAAAGAATGATGTTTCCACCTCCATGCTTCACAGTTGGGATGGTGTTCTTGGTGTTGTACTCATCCTTCTTCTTCCTCCAAACACAGCGAGTGGAGTTTAGACCAAAAAGCTCTATTTTTGTCTCATCAGACCACATGACCTTCTCCCATTCCTCCTCTGGATCATCCAGAAGGTCAAAAGGCAAACTTCAGACGGTCCTGGACATGCGCTGGCTTGAGCAGGGGGACCTTGCGTGCGCTGCAGGATTTTAATCCATGACGGCGTAGTGTGTTACTAATGGTTTTCTTTGAGACTGTGGTCCCAGCTCTCTTCAGGTCATTGACCAGGTCCTGCCGTGTAGTTCTGGGCTGATCCCTCACCTTCCTCATGATTATTGATGCCCCACGAGGTGAGATCATGCATGGAGCACCAGACTGAGGGTGATGCCCACGAGGTGAGATCTTGCATGGAGCACCAGACCGAGGGTGATTGACCGTCATCTTGAACTTCTTCCAATTTCTAATAATTGCGCCAACAGTTGTTGCCTTCTCGCCAAGCTGCTTGCCTATTGTCCTGTAGCCCATCCCAGCCTTGTGCAGGTCTACAATTTTATCCCTGATGTCCTTACACAGCTCTCTGGTCTTGGCCATTGTGGAGAGGTTGGAGTCTGTTTGATTGAGTGTGTGGACAGGTGTCTTTTATACAGGTAACGAGTTCAAACAGGTGCAGTTAATACAGGTAATGAGTGGAGAACAGGAGGGCTTCTTAAAGAAAAACTTAACAGGTCTGTGAGAGCCGCAATTCTTACTGGTTGGTAGGTGATCAAATACTTATGTCATGCAATAAAATGCAAATTAATTACTTAAAAATCATACAATGTGATTTTCTGGATTTTTGTTTTAGATTCCATCTCTCACAGTTGAAGTGTACCTATGATAAAAATTACAGACCTCTACATGCTTTGTAAGTAGGAAAACCTGCAAAATCGGCAGTGTATCAAATACTTGTTCTCCCCACTGTATGTATCATATTCAGCCACTTCCGACTTTTGATTAGCTTAATATTATGCATGTGCCCTGTCCAGACACTATAGAGAAGGAGATGCGGTCGCTATTTGAGATCCCAACGGGGAAGGAGACTCGACTGTGGAATAAGTACATGAGCAACACGTACGAGCAGCTAAACAAGCCAGACAGCACTGTGCAGGATGCTGGTCTCTTCCAAGGCCAGGTAGAGTACACACTCTACCCCAACACCCCACTTCAGCTCACTCACTGCTAGGCCACACACAGTTAGCGCTAGACCCTTTGACCACTGGCTCTGTCTTCATTAGACACACAGCACAGGGGTTACACTTGAATCTTTTTAAGGGGAAGCTGCAATGGTGTCACGTTTATATACTTAATCACTTATCTCATTGGTTGTTCCTCCCAATAGTTGAAATTGCAGCTATATTTGATAACCATTAGGCCCATCAGGGATCACAACATTCCTAATGTCAGAGGTTATGTTTTGTTACCCAGCAGTGATTAACTGCTAATTGATTATGTTATGATAGTTGTTTTTGAGGTCACCTGGGTTCTAGCCTCGTACTACCATCCGTGTCTCGCAAGCTTACATACATTTATGTATGTTTACGAGATCAGGAAGATTGTACGGGGCTAGCTGGGTTCAGCTGAGGTTAGTTATAGTGACACGGCTCTCACTGGCTTGTTGCCCACACAGGTGCTCGTGATCGAATGCAAGAACAAGGACGGCACGTGGCCCAGACAAGCCTCCCATCCAAAGTAAGTTAATCGGTCTATGGTTACCCTTGCTCTATTCTAGGACTTTGTGGCAATTAAGCCATTTTAATCCAAATGTACTATGTCTGGTTGCGCAAAATGTCTGAAACTTGTCCAGTAAGTTGTCCATTTCCTGTTATTTAGATCCAGTACGGCCACATCCAGAAATTTCACTACCTCCCCAAAGCTCTCCTCCAACTCGTCGGCAACCATCTCCTCAACAATAACCAATGGGGACAGCAGCAGCAACTCTGGCAGTACACTGAACAACAGCACCTCCTCTGGCAATAGGCAAGCACACTGTGATTTCGTCATTATGCCACAATATAGTTAGTCAGACTAGTTCAATGGAGTACCATTTATGTTTAGGAATATTTATACAATCCATTCATGTTTGCTCTGTTATACACTGGACTCAGCCTTACTGTTTCTACAGATTGGGAGGTTACAATTCATACAGCTCCTCCTACAACTACAGAGAGTCACCATCCCAACCTGGCCTCTGTGGTCTCAGTAACCTAGGCAACACCTGCTTCATGAACTCTGCCCTCCAGGTACCACTCACTCACTTACTCACACTTTGAACATATATTTCCCCCTTACTCACCTCACTGTTTTGTTGCAGTGCCTGAGCAACGCGTCCCCTCTCACGGAATACTTCCTAGATGACCAGTATGAGGCGGAAATCAACCGGGAGAATCCATTAGGAATGAGGGGGGAGATTGCAGAGGCCTACGCAGACCTGGTCAAGCAGATGTGGCTCAGCCGCAGCAGCTACGTGGCCCCCCGCACCTTTAAAGTAAGCAGCGTCACAGATACAGAAGACTGAATTTCTATAGGCTACTGCGATTGTCGTCCTCTTGTAGTGCACCTTCCTCACATTATTTTTGACCAGTAGATTTCTCCAATTAAACTCTATGGAGTTTCTTAGTCAGTTACTGACTTACAAACTCATTGCAGACAAAGCAATGAGCATTGAACTCTGTCACAATTACTTTAATACATGCGTGATTGACAAGCTGCACAGTCTTCTAACCTCCACCCTGTGTTCTCCCTCTATCCCAGACCCAAGTGGGCCGCTTCGCCCCCCAGTTTTCAGGGTACCAGCAGCAGGACTCCCAGGAGCTGCTGGCCTTCCTGATGGACGGGCTCCACGAAGACCTGAACCGCGTTAAAAAGAAGCCTTACCTGGCCCTGCAGGATGCAGGGGGCCGGAAAGACGAGGTACACACACACACACACACACACACTGCAAAATATCACCTCTGTACAAATCTGATTTTCTTCTTCTGAATAACAGATTGTAGCTAAGGAAGCCTGGACTAACCATCGCCTGCGCAATGACTCAATAATTGTGGACATATTCCATGGCCTGTTCAAATCCACTCTGGTGTGTCCAGAGTGTGCTAAGGTCTCTGTGACCTTTGACCCATTCTGCTACCTCACACTGCCTCTGCCCATGAAGAAGGACCGCACCATGGAGGTGTTCTTGGTCCGTATCGATCCCCAGTCCAGACCCACGCAGGTAACACACACACTGGATGGGCGCTGCTTTTACCCCTCCATGTAGATACACTGTCGTTATAATAACAATCTTAAGCACAGCCTCAGACAAACCATTCATTAGGCTCAACCTGGGCTAGTTGAATTTCATTAGAATACAGTATTTGTGTACATAGAACATTTTCTTGATTTAGAGGTGGCTATATTGTCTGCAATGTAAATAAAACATTTGCATACTCGGGAGGCATTGAGATGTTTATCAAAACCAGACCACTCTCAATGGGGACCTAGAAACAGTGGTCTTTGTACATGCTGCTGTGCTGTCTTCAATTTCAGAGTGGGCCACGGTTCACCGACTGAGGTCATAACATCAATGTAGACAGAAGTAAAAATATTATTCTCTCCCTGTGCATCTCTCCTTCTCTTCCCCAGTACCGAGTGGTGGTCCCCAAGCTTGGCTCAGTGACAGACCTGTGCAGCGCCTTGTCGCGGCTCTCTGGAATCCCTGCTGAGAATGTGAGAGCTTTATGTGCTGAATAAGGGCCATTTTACTTTTGGACTCTTTTTACAGCATTTGCACCATGTACTTTATGGGTGTGTGCTCATGATGACATTTTGTTGATGACTTGATAAAATAAATGTGTAGATCATTTTATACGTTGTAGCGGTTTCTGGTGAGACTATTTTCAGTTGTGAGGATAACGTTTTTCCCCACTGACGGGTCTGATAAAGTTGCTCCAGTTGAGAGAATCAAAAATCACGGTTCCCGAATAGTGGCCCGCGGGCCAAATTCAGCCCACGAGTGATTTTATTTGGGTGCCCTGTGTTTTCTGAGGAAAACATTGATTAATTATTGGACATGAGACTGTGAAATCCCCAGGAAATGGGTTCAAAGGGATTTTAATTGAGAAAATCTGTCCTCAAGTATTCCCATGCATATGTGATCGCATCCAACTGGAAGGTTTGAAATTATTACATTTTTGTCAAATACTATATCTGTTTGGGATTCTTGCAGTCAATTTTCAGCGTACAAATTATTTAAACTATGTTCTGGCCCCCCCGACCATTCGCTCAAGGATAAATCGTCCCACGGCTGAATGTAATTGGGGACCCCTGCCATAAATGCTTCCTCTTGTCCTCCTAGATGGTGGTGGCTGATGTTTACAATCACCGGTTCCACAAGATCTACAGACGAGACGATGGCCTCAACCAAATCATGGAGAAGGATGACATCTTTGTGTAAGCCTTGTCCCTTCTCTTGCACTGGAAGATAACATATTGAACAGTGGTTGGGTATGAGCAGACATCAGTCTCTTTATTGTTAGCCAGGAGTTTACAGAATAACCACACAGTAAACACTATAAATACTCAACATATACAAGATGTTCAAATGGTGAAAAAAAAGAACACCCCAAGTATGCTACTGTATCATTCTCCAGGTATGAGGTGGCGGAGGAGGATGGGGAGAGTATGAACCTGCCTGTGTACTTCAGGGAGCGCCACTCCAAGCACACAGGCGGCTCCACGGGCACCATGCTGTTTGGCCAGCCCCTGCTCATCACTGTGCCCCGGCAGAACCTAGCCATTGACATGCTCTACGAGAAGGTGCTGGAGAGGATCGGGTGGGTACAGTGTCTGTGGGCCTGCTTTTGTTTCTACTTGTGTTCATATGTACAGTATAACCCACACAGACTTGAGATATTTAACATGTAGTTATGTGCGAAATGTGAGCTTTGCACATGTGGCACAGTCCTAGCAAAATTCTTGCTTGAGAAAATGATTTTTGCCAAAAAGCAATTTTTTGCCATTTTTATGGAAGTCTATTATAGTAAGGTACTTAATTTGTTACCCAAAAATGATTTTATATTGATATAAAAACAGCTGCATTGGGCCTTTTAACATGTACGATATTGACCAACTGTTTCCTGACCCAGGCGCTACGTGACGCGCTCTCAGAGCTCCACTGGTGAGGGGAGGGCCTCAGCCTCCGCCTCTGCCTCCTCCGCCAGCTGCAGCCAGGCAGCAGAGTGCTCAGCAACATCCTCCAATCACAACACTGCAGTGAGTGGGAGTGGAAGCCCCCTGTCAGATGGGGCATCCTGCAGCTCCAGCAACAGCAGCAACCACTCAGGAACATCCAACGGGAACGGGGTGTGTGAGGGTAAGCAACAACACGGACTGGAGTGCTCCAGGGCTGTCTAAAGGCAGCACTGTTACTCAAATCAAATACAACAGGTGTAGACCTTACAGTGAAATGCTTACTTAACCAACAATGCAGTTTTAAGAAAATACAAATAAAGTGTTAAGTAAAAAATAGCAAATAATTAAAGAGCAGCAGTCAAATAAAATAACAGTAGGGAGGCTATATACAGGGGGTACCGGTACAGAGTCAATGTGCGGGGGCACAGGTTAGACAAGGTAATTGAGGTAATATGTACATGTGGGTAGAGTTAGTGACTATGCATTGATAATAAACAGAGTAGCAGCAGTGTAAAAGAGGGGGTGGGGGGTGCAATGCAAATAGTCTGGGTAGCCATGATTAGCTGTTCAGGAGTCTTATAAAAAATATAATATGCCATTTAGCAGACGCTTTTATCCAAAGCGACTTAGTCATGCGTGCATACATTTTTATTTTTTGTGTATGGGTGGTCCCGGGGATCGAACCCACTACCTTGGCGTTACAAGCGCCGTGCTCTACCAGCTGAGCTACAGAGGACCACATGGCTTGGGGGTAGAAGCTGTTAAGAAGCCTTTTGGACCTAGACTTGGCGCTCCGGTACCGCTTGCTGTGCGTTAGCTGAGAGAACAGTCTATGACTAGGGTGGCTGGAGTCTTTGACCATTTTTAGGGCCTTCCTCTGACACTGCCTGGTATAGAGGTCCTGGATGGCAGGAAGCTTGGCCCCAGTGATGTACTGGGACGTACGCACTACCCTCTGTAGTGCCTTGCGGTCGGAGGCCGAGTAGTTGCCATACCAGGCAGTGATGCAACCAGTCAGGATGCTCTCGATGGTGCAGCTGTAGAACATTTTGAGGATTTGAGGACCCATGCCAAATCTTTTCAGTCTCTTGAGGGGAAATAGGCTTCGTCGTGCCCTCTTCACGACTGTCTTGGTGTGTTTGGACCATGATAGTTTGTTGGTGATGTGGACACCAATGAACTTGAAGCTCTCAACCTGTTCCACTACAGCCCCGTCGATGAGAATGGGGGCATGCTCAGTCCTCTTTTTTTTCCTGTAGTCCACAATCATCTCCTTTTGTCTTGATCACGTTGAGGGAGAGGTTGTTATCCTGGCTCCACACAGCCAGGTCTCTGACCTCCCTATAGGCTGTCTCATCATTGTCGGTGATCAGGCCTACCACTGTTGTGTCGTCGACTAACTTAATGATGGTGTTGGAGTCGTGCCTGGCCATGCAGTCATGGGTGAACAGGGAGTACAGGTGGGGACTGAGCACGCACCCCTGAGGGGCCCCGTGTTGAGGATCAGCGTGGCAGATGTGTTGTTACCTACCCTTACCACCTGGGAGCGGCCTGTCAGGAAGTCTAGGATCCAGTTGAGGAGGGAGGTGTTTAGTCCTAGAGTCCTTAGCTTAGTGATGAGCTTTGAGGGCACTATGGTGTTGAACGCTGAGCTGTAGTCAATTAATAGCATTCTCACGTAGGTGTTCCTCTTGTCCAGGTGGGAAAGGGCAGTGTGGAGTGCAATAGAGATTGCATCATCTGTGGATCTGTTGGGGCGGTATGCCTGGGTGGGTGTAGGGTTTCTGGGATAATGGTGTTGTGAGCCATGACCAGCCTTTCAAAGCACTTCATGGCTACAGACGTGAGTGCTACGGGTCGGTAGTCATTTAGGCAGGTTATCTTAGTGTACTTGGGCACAGGGACTATGGTGGTCTGCTTGAAACATGTTGGTATTACAGACTCAATCAGGGACATGTTGAAAATATCAGTGAAGACACTTGCCAGTTGGTCAGCGCATGCTCGGAGTACACGTCCTGGTAATCCGTCTGGCCTTGTGAATGTTGACCTGCTTAAAAGTCTTACTCACATCGGCTATGGAGAGCGTGATCACATTGTCATCCGGAAACAGCTGATGCTCTCATGCATGCTTCAGTGTTGCTTGCCTCGAAGCGAGCATAGAAGTGATTTAGCTCGTCTGGTAGGCTTGTGTCAATGGGCAGCTCGCGGCTGTGCTTCCCTTTGTAGTCTGTAATAGTTTTCAAGCCCTGCCACATCCGATGAGCGTCAGAGCTGGTGTAGTACGATTCAATCTTAGTCCTGTATTGATTCTGCCTGTTTGATGTTTCGTTGGAGGGCATAGCGGGATTTCTTATAAGCGTCCAGGTTAGAGTCAATCTCCTTGAAAGCGGCAGCTCTACCCTTTAGCTCAGTGCGGATGTTGCCTGTAATCCATGGCTTCTGGTTGGGGTATATACGTACGGTCACTGTGGGGACGACGTTATCGATGCACTTATTGATGAAGCCGCTGACTGTTGTGGTGTACTCCTCAATGCTATCGGAAGAATCCCGGAACATATTCCAGTCTGTGCTAGCAAAACAGTCCTGTAGCTTAGCATCTGCGTCATCTGACCACTTCCTTATTAACCGAGTCACTGCTGCTTTTGTTTTTGCTTATAAGCAGGAATCAGGAGGATAGAGTAATGGTCAGATTTGCCAAATGGAGGGTGAGGGAGATCTTTGTACGTGTCTCTGTGTGTGGAGTAAAGGTGGTCTAGAGTTTTCTTTCCTCTGGTTGCACATTTAACATGCTGCAGCCATCTTCTCTGGCGCCATTCATCTCGTACACCTATTGGTTTCTTTATAATCCCATGATGATTGTGTACCAAGCACATTTTTAGTTTTTCATTCATGTAGAAGTGCCGTATTTCATTGCCACGGTCTGACATGGCTTGTGTGATTTCCCACTTGTGTGTTGGTTCCAGGTGAGGAGGAGGCCATGGATCAACAGGTGAGTCCGGAGCCAGAGAACGGCCAGTCAGAGGAGGAGGAAACCTCAGACCTGGAGAATGGCCCTAAAATCAAACCGTGCTCCAGCACCCCGGCCAAACTTTTCTCCTTCAGCATGGTCAACTCTTATGGAACGGCCAACATCAGTCCACTGCCTTGCGACGGAAACGTCCTCAAACTCAATAGTTAGTATTCAGTCTCACATTTGACTTTTGAGTGCTTCAACCAGTTAAAAGAGAAAAAAACAGCTTGAAAATAAAAGTGGAAACTTATTTTTCAAAAGTCCCGGGTGATTAAAATGTTTGTTGAATTGCCATTAGAGAACAGGCTTTAGATGTGAGTTGCGAGCTGACCAAAGCACCTTATCTCCTCCGTAGCACATTCCACAGTGGCGATCGACTGGGACTCGGACTCAAAGAAAGTGTGTTACGACGATCAGGAAGCAGAGGTCAGTACACTATCAGTTGACTTGATCAGGTTGACCCAAAGCCTTTTTTGGAGGAGTTAGTTTGAAAAATGTAATAGTGTCACTCCGCAATTATAGAATAATTGACAATACAAAAAACATTGTGGACCGCTCCTATAGAGTTTTGATACACTAAAAACAATGATCGTCAAACATGGTACAGTATTTTCTTTGGCTTCATCGATAATACATTACAATCTATTATCATCTGCCTTTTCAATATGCAGACAATCAATAAATCATTGTTTTATATTGAAAGTACTTTTTTTTTTTGAGAGATACGAGGTGTGAACTATAGTTTTTCTAAACACTAAATATGTTAGTACAACATCAGATGACAACAGACAAAGTGCAATGCTATTTGGCTAGCAGCCACAAGTAAAATTGCTCACGATGAAAAAGCAAGATGTTTTTGCAGAAAACAATGCATGGCCATCATATTTCTGTTTATCACGGACAGAATGTAGCCAGCGACCTTTCCTAATGTTTTGCTTAAAGTTAATCTTGCATTTTAACTTTCTACTGGACAAAAACTATACCGGAGAGAAGTAGCCTACACATCAGTCAGAGCGCTGTCTGGTGATCCAGTGATGAGAGCAAATACACTACATGACTAAAAGTATGTGGATATCTGCTTGTCGACCATCTCATTCCAAAATCATGGGCATTGATATGGAGTTGGTCCCCCCTTTGCTGCTATAACAGCCTTCACTCTTCTGGGAAGGCTTTCCACTAGATGTTGGAACATTGCTGCGGAGACTTGCTTCCATTCAGCCACGAGCATTAGTGAGGTCCGGCACTGATGTTGGGCGATTAGGCCTGGCTCGCAGTCCGCATTCCAATTCATCCCAAAGTTGTTTGATGGGGTTGAGGTCAGGGCTCTGTGCAGGCCAGTCAAGTTCTTCCACACCGATTTCGACAAACCTCGCTTTGTGCACTGGGGCATTGTCATGCTGAAACAGGAAAGGGCCTTCCCAACGTCGTCCGGGTTAGGTGAGGATTTGGCCGGCAGGGATTTCCTTGTCCCATCGCGCTCTAGCGACTCCTTGTGGTGGGCCGGGCGCCTGCAAGCTGACTTCGGTCGCCAGTTGGACGGTGTTTCCTCCGACACGTTGGTGCGGCTGGCTTCCGGGTTAAGTGAGCAGTGTGTCAAAGAAGCAGTGCAGCTTGGCAGGGTCGTGTTTCAGAAGATGCATGGCTCTCGACCTTAGCCTCTCCCGAGTCCGTAGGGGAGTTGCAGAGATGGGACAAGACTAACTACCAATTGGATATCACGAAAAAGGGGTAAAAGTAATTTTTTTAAATGTTTCCCTTCACTGGAAGTAAGGGCCATTGCCTAACAATGGAAAAACAGCCCCAGACCATTATTCCTCCTCCATCAAACTTTACAGTTGGCACTATGCATTGAGGCAGGTATTGTTCTCCTGGCATCCTCCAAACCCACATTCTTCCGTCGGACTGCCAGATGGTGAAGTGTGATTCATCACTCCAGAGAACGCGTTTCCACTGCTCCAGAGTCCATTGGCGGCGAGCTTTACACGACTCCAGCTGACGCTTGGCATTGCGCATGGTGATCTTAGACTTATGTGTGGCTGCTCGGCCATGGAAACCCATTTCATGAAGGTACTGACGAATAGTTATTGTGCTGACGATGCTTCCAGAGGCAGTTTGGAACTCGTTAGGGAGAGTTGCAACAGAGGACAGATGATTTTTACGCGCTTCAGCACTCGGCGGTCCCGTTCTGTAAGCTTGTGTGGCCTTCCACTTCGCGGCTGAGCCGTTGTTGCTCCTAGACCTTTCCACTTCTTCAATAACAGAACTTAGTTGACAGGGGAAGCTCTAGCAGAGCAGAAATTTGACGAACTGACTTGTTGGAAAGGTGGCATCCTATAATGGTGCCACGTTGAATGTCACTGAGCTCTTCAGTAAGGCCATTCTCCTGCCAATGTTTGTCTATAGAGATTGCATGGCTGTGTGCTCGATTTTTGTGAAGTAGCCGAATCCATTAATTTGAAGGGGTGTCCACATACTTTTGTGTGTACAGTGCATTCGGAAAGTATTCAGACCCCTTGACGTTTTCCACATTTTGTTACGTTACAGCCTTATTCTAAAACATATTACATTTTTTCCCCTCCTCAATCTACACACAGTACCCCATAATGACAAAGCAAAAATAAAAAAAGATCACATTTACATAAATATTCAGAACCTTTTACTCAGTACTTTTGTTGAAGCACCTTTGGCAGCAATTACAGCCTCGTCTTCTTGGTATGACTCTACAAGCTTGGCTCACCTGTATTTGGGGAGTTTCTTCTTTGCAGATCCTCTCAAGTGCTGTCAGGTTGGATGAGGAGCGTCGCTGCACAGCTATTTTCAGGTCTCTCCAGAGATGTTCAAGTCTGGGCTCTGGCTGGGCCACTCAAGGACATTCCGAGACTTGTCCCGAAGCAACTCCTGTGTTGTCTTTGCTATGTGCTTAGGGTCGTTGTCCTGTTGGAAGATGAACTTTCGCCCCAGTCTGAGGTCCTGAGCACTCTGGAGCAGGTTTTCATCAAGGAACTCTCTGTACTTTGCTCCGTTCATCTTTCCCTCGATCCTGACTAGTCTCCCAGTCCTTGACGCTGAAAAACATCCCCACAGCATGATCATGCCACAACCATGCTTCACCGTAGGGATGGTGCCAGGTTTCCTCCAGAGTTGACACTTGACATTCAGGCCAAAGAGTTCAATCTTGGTTTCATCAGAGCAGAGAATCTCTTTTCTCATGGTCTGAGAGTCCTTTAGGTGCCTTTTGGCAAACTCCAAGCGGGCTGTCTTGTGCCTTTTACTGAGGAGTGGCTTCCGTCTGGCCACTCTACCATAAAGGCCTGATTGGTGGAGTGCTGCAGAGATGGTTGTCCTTCTGGAAGGTTCTCCCATCTCCACAGAGGAGCTCTGTCAAAATGACCATAGAGTTCTTGGTCACCTCCCTGACCAAGGCTCTTCTCCCCCGATTGCTCAGTTTGGCCGGGCGGCCAGCGCTAGAAAGTGTCTTGGTGGTTCCAAACTTCCATTTAAGAATGATGGAGGCCACTGTGTTCTTGGGGACCTTCAGTGCTGCAGAAATGGTTTGGTCCCTTTCCCCAGATCTGTGCCTCGACACAATCCTGTCTGAGCTCTACAGGTGGACTACAATCAAGTTGTAGAAACATCTCGAGGATGATCAATGGAAACAGGATGCACCTGAGCTCAATTTTTAGTCTCATAGCAAAGGGTCTGAATACTTACTTGTTTTATTTTAATACATTTGCAAACATTTCTACAAACCTGTTTTCACTTTTTCATTATGCGGTATTGAGAGTAGATTGAGGATAAAAAATGTTTTACATCCATTTTATAATAAGGCTGTAACGTAACAATGTGGAAAAAGAGAAGGTCTGAATACTTTCCGAATGCACTGTGTGTATATATAGTGTATATTTCATCCGAGTGGAGAAGTGCAACTGAAGTGCGAAATTACCGTACTCCTTTTACATTCATGATTTGGAGTGAACCCTGACTGGAGCCAAGCAGAATTTACAATGAGAAGCATTTTAGATCAGAGTTTACAAAACGCAGCACGATATGTTTTCTTCGTTTTTAACTTTCCTTTTCTGTCTGAAAAATGCAGAATCCTGCATTAACGCGACCCCTAATTATTGGTATCAGTTATTATACACAGAACAAAAATATAAATGCAAAATGTAAAGTGTTGGTCCCATGTTTCATGGGCTGAAATAAAAGATCCCAAGAAATGTTCCATATGCGACGTCTGTGGGCAAATGCTCACCTTTGATGACCACTGGTATGCTGGAGAAGTGTGCACATCATGGTGGCGGTGGGGTTATGGTATGGATAGGCATAAGCTACAGACAACAAACACAATTGCATTTTATCGATGGGAATTTGAATGCACAGCTATACCGTGACGAGATCCTGAGGCCCATTGTTGTGCTATTAATCCGCCCCTATTGCCTCATGTTTCAGCATGATAATGCACGGCCTCATGTCACAAGGATCTGTACACAATTCCTGGAAACTGAAAATGTCCCAGTTCTTTCATGGCCTGCATACTCACCAGACATGTCACCCATTGAGGATGTTTGGGATGCTCTTGATCGACGTGTACGAAAGCATGTTCCAGTTCCCGCCAATATCCAGCAACTTCGCCAAGCAATTGAAAAGGAGTGGGAGAACATTCCACAGGCCATAATCAACAGCCTGATCAACTCTATGCGAAGAAGATGTCGCGCTGCATGAGGCAAATGGTGGTCACACCAGATATTGACTGGTTTTCTGATCCACACCCCTCCTTGTTTTTTGTTGTTGTTTTTTTTGTATCTGTGACCAACAGATGCATGTGTGTATTCCCAGTCATGTAAAATCCATAGATTAGGGCCTAATTAATGTATTTCAATTGACTGATTTCCTTGTATGAACTGTAACTCAGTAAAATCTTTGAAATTGTTGCGTTTGTTTTTGTTCATTGTACATCTTTACACATATGCATAAACACAAAAACTGTACAGTAGATAAAAGGACATTTAGGCACTGATAAAGAAACGTCTCCGTTGGAGGGTAGGTGGCAGGCTTTGGCATTTACATTATTGTTACCAGATAAAATGTCACACAATTGATTATTTCAAAGGATGTGTACCTGGCTATGTCTGTATGGTGTGTACATCTGTGACTCAGTCCTGTATCCTCTATGTGTACTGTAGGCATATGAGAAGCATGAGAGCATGCTCCAGGCCCCGAAGAAGAAGGCCACGGTGGCTTTGAGGGAATGCATTGAGCTCTTCACTACCATGGAGACGCTAGGAGAGCACGACCCATGGTGAGACCCACCCCCACTACAGCACTGTCTGCCATGCTCAACAAGATACACTAGCCCTTAGCACTCAACTCCCTAAGTCGTTGATACCACTACGTTCTGTGGTGAATTTTAATGCTGTTTTTGTGTTTGTATATTTTACTGAAATCAATGATTCCTCACATGTTCACACAGGTATTGCCCCACCTGTAAGAAGCACCAACAGGCCACAAAGAAGTTTGACTTGTGGTCTTTGCCTCGCATCCTGGTGGTCCACCTGAAGCGTTTTTCCTACAATCGCTGCTGGAGGGACAAGCTGGACACGGTGGTGGACTTCCCTGTCAGGTACAGACAGCACTATGCCAAGACGTGGAACAGTTCTAACGAACATACTATATTTTTATCATCAATGATTCACATTGAGATGGACATTGTCTGTGCTCTTTATTCTTTGTATTTTGAGAGGTCAAATTATGAAAGCATCCTTTTGATTTTGTCGTCAACTTTTATGGACCCAAGGAATTGACAGCTTTTACACTAGAGGGTGCTGGTGTGCTAGATTTATAGAAACCCTGGATTGCTGATGCAATGTATTGGCCAATGAGAGGCATAGAAGAAGCAGTCCTCCATAGGAATAAATGGAATTCTACACTATTTCAATTAAATGTTTCAAGGACAGAATTACATGGATTTAAGATTTTTTCATTTATTTTATGTTTAGCTCAAATAATATAAGTTTAAAAGTATGCGTTAAGGTGTCTGTAATAGTAAATGTGGCAAAAACAAATGTAGACATTAATAAACGCATTTCTATAGCTTCCAAAATATTTTTTACAATAGTGGGGCTGTTCCAAGATGGAGGCGCGTTGCCATCCCAACAGCGCCCCCTGTCTTTAATCTGGTATGTGTTTGTAAATTATGTACAGTAACAGTCAAAGGTTTGGACACACCTATTCATTCAAGGGTTTTTCTTTATTTTTAAAATGTTCTACATTGTAGAATAATAGTGAAGACATCAAAACTATGAAATAACACATATGTAGGTGTGTCCAAACTTTTGACTGGTACTGTATATATTAATTAATTAAATAAATCATTGGGTACAATACACAAGGTCTCTGTCTGTTTGAGGAAGTCCTGGTCACATTTGAGAAGTCTTAACTGTCAGAGAAACTGACGTCAAGCTCCAACAGACAAAAATAGCATCTGTAGTATAGTTACATCGGGTAATAACTGTTTTACAAGGGGAATTTCACAATCACAAAAAGCCCTTTAAACTAAACCAGTGTCATTTTAATGTATTTTCCATTAGCAGAATACTCAGTTTATTCCCCAGGTTGTGACAAGAAGCCATTTGAAATACTGTTGTATAAAAGCTACCTGTGTGGGGGTTGTCTGGCTGAATGCCTGGGAGCCTCCCTGTGCTGTGTTTACTGACCTCTACTGAGTCACATTAGCCAGCAGGAACCAGGAAGCAGAATTAATTGTTACTGACCTAGACAAGCCCTGCTGCTTCCAAGAACCTGACTCATGCTTACTGAGGATGGTTGAGACCGACAGAGCCATCTATTGTACCTCACCTCTCGCACCAATGTATCAGCTGAAGTGCTAGCTGACCACCATCCTCCACACTGGGTTCAGTGTTGATGACATGTCCAAAATGAATCACACTTGATATAATAAAACATGGCTTTCTGTATAGCCCTGTGCTTATGTGTTTAGCTGTCAGTCCAAGTCATTGTGTGTATGTAATGTGTAGTAGTAGTAGGTTTTGCTGATGACATGTCTTCTCTTTCCACATAGGGACCTGAACATGTCTGAGTTTGTGTGTGACCCAAAGGCCGGACCCTATGTTTATGACCTCATTGCTGTCTCCAACCACTATGGAGGAATGGGAGGAGGCCACTGTGAGTAATGGTTGCTTCTGCCAGTAACACCCAGGTCAATCCTTAATGCAGACTCTTAGACCTAGATAATGACTTACACCAGGGTGTCTGCGTGTCCTTAAAAAGTATTTGTCTTAAATTAATTTATCTGATATAAAGGCCTAGATAAGTTTTACAGTCTTGCTCATGGCGGCAGAACGGCAAGGACTGGCCCTGCTATCTGCATAATAATATCTGCTGATAAAGCTATTTGTTTTAGTACCTGGTAACCTGAAGCAGGTCAAATTCGAGTTTATAAAACAGTCAGCGGTGTTTAGACTGTTTGTTCCCACTTACATGGCATGTAGTGTCAACTTAATTTGGCCAAGCTTTTGTTTGGTGGTGACTAACCAGGCCTGCTAGTGGAAACCAGTTTATCAGCTATTCATCCTAGCTCAACTTTAGACATCACTGACCATGATGTAGTTTTCTAATGTTTCTCCAATATCTTGTACCTTCAGACACAGCCTACGGCAAGAACAAAGCTGATGGGAAATGGCATTACTTTGATGACAGTAGTGTATCGGCTGCCTCGGAGGATCAGATTGTGGTGAGTGAGCAACTTCAAACCTTACATTCATGTGTAACTCTGTATACAGAGCATCCGGAAAGTATTCAGACCCCTTGACTTTTTCTACATTTTGTTACGCTACAGCCTTATTCTAAAATTGATAAAAAATATACAGTACCAGTCCAAAGTTTGGACACCTACTCATTCCAGGGTTTTTCTTTATTTTGACTATTTTCTACATTGAAATGTTGATTATGTATAAAAATGTCTATGATGTGGGACTCATTATTACCAATTTCTTAGAGCTATTTGTTGTTCCATGTGTCCAGTGTTTATTAATGAATGTCAGCAGTGATGAGAGCTCTCCATTGACTATGTCCTTTGGTGTTGAGTGTCAGTGTTGCTGTGGTGTAACTCTATCCCCTCTCTCCTCCACAGACAAAAGCAGCCTACGTGCTATTTTACCAACGCAGAGATGTGGGCGACACCCCCACCAAGCCTCCGCCCTCTTCCCCTCTAGGGGGCGCTAAGGCCGACGATCACATGGATACCAACTGAGCAGCGCTGATGCTCAGGGACACGACACGCACTGAAGCAAAAAAAATGACACACTTTGTTGATGCACACACCAAGCTACTTCAGTGACATAAGACTTCTGAGTCAATATTATTAACTCCCCTCAACCCGTCACCCCTTTGTTTTTTTGTTTTGCTCATACATCGTCACCAAGAGCCAAAAGCCTTGTTAGATGCTTGACCCGAGAGACTTCCTCCCTGGAGCCGGTGGCCTGCTGATGTGTGAAACCTAGTTGACTAGTTAAAAAAATAAAGAGGAATATAAAAAGGCTAAGAATCCTCTCACTGGACGAACAGAATGTTAGAAGTGCACTAAAATGCTTAGGTATTATTAACTCAAACTTTTCTGTTACCTACTAGAAAAGTCAAAAAAATAAAAAAAAGCCAAATCCACATCTTGTTTCTACCAAAGCGTTCTAAGTTGTACATTGTAAAGAAATGTACCAACTGCATTGACAGACAGTGGGAAAGGGGAAACATGCCCTTGAGTTGTCTCTGATTTGTGTCTGTGATGATAACCCTCCATGGCAGCGGTGAATTTATGCAAATTTGTATTTAACATTGAGATGTACACACAATTCAACACATGCCACTGATGGATCCTGTGACCTTCTGCCTCCTGTGAAGAATGGATCCAGTCAGAAAGGCACACTGGAGGTGTTCCCTCTGCTACAGAAACACACACAGGCCCCCTCATTCTAGTCTGCCTCTGGGTTGGCCTGCAGGTCGTGTCCACAGTAGATGGTGTTCCCTTAAGGTCCTGTTTACTGTGCCTTGATATAAGCTGTGTCAGAGGCTTCATTTTCAGAGACGTGACTTCTGTCAGACCATAGCCTGCTCTTTATTAAGCCCAGCATGCTAATGCTGTCTCTCTCATACCCCTCGCTCTCATAAGTCTCATCCTGCTAAAGATGTGCTGCTCCCCCTCGTTACGCAAAGGCAACAGCGTCCTTTTAATCCTGCAACCTGTTTAAAAAAGGAAGCACTTTTACGTTTTCCTTTAGTTGCATCTGGAATAATACATCTGTATGTATGACATGTGGCAAGGCCCTGACCACTCATACATTTCCAGATAATATGGCAGTACTTTCAAGCATATTTGATTGCTGATTGAATGGACCCTCTGACTGCCAGCAATGGCTTGTCCTTAGGCTACCTGTCCTGTATGGTATTACAGTCCTGCATTGAAATCTGACATGTATGAAAGTGGTGCTAAATTTATGAGACTTGAAATTGTTGCTGTTCATGATAAGTCTCCAATCCATTGTCAAATAGAATTTGGACAGCAATAACTTAAAGGCATCCTCAGTGTGTTTAGGACTGCAGGCATCTGCAGCCATGTGTGTCCTCCCACCAATGGACTCTCAGACAACCAATCAGCTGTTAAATAAAATATATAATGATGACATGACATCTTGCTCGTCAATGGATGGAAAAAGGACTCCTATAAATCGATCTGCTGTCGGACTGTTGCTACGTAGCTCTATATTCTTCACTGACACGTGTCACATTGAATACTAGTAGTCTTCAGTAACAGCTGCTCAGCTTGTGGGGGGCTGGTGACAGCAACACAATACATGTCAGGAACCAGTGTCTGATACCAGATTCAGCACCCTTCCGTAGTATTTCACTGCGTTGCTAAGTGTCTTGTAAAGGTTGATACAATATACGACTAACCAGAGCTATATAAGTGGCTCTGCCAATAACTACTTCATGGATGAATTTCCCGTAAGATCAATTCTAGCTCTGTGGCATTTGTCCTGTGCTTTTTCCATGTGGCACAAAAGCATGTAAATGTCTTTGGGACTGCAGATGTCCTATTTGCTGGTTGGTCCCTCTGTGATTATGCCCTCCTGAGATGATTACAATATTAATATAACCATATTTATGTCAATGAATAGAAAAGCTTTACACCATATCTGTAATATTATTCTATAGCAAGTGAAAAAGGCACCCAGCTGTCCAAAACAGATTGGATTAGTTGCTTTTCTTTACAATCCTCATGAGCAACTTAGCCATTTGAGCTTCAATTTGCTGTCAAATATCTTGAATAGATGTAAATAATCACACTATTTCAAAAATAGTTATGTAACTGTTGTAATATTGATCATATTGCCAATATCTGCAATATTTGTTTTTAATTGAGAATTATTTGGATTGGAAATACAATAAAGACTGGCAGCCTAAAATGATATATTGTTTGGACTAGTTGCTTTCCAGAACAGTTTAATAGAAAAAAATTATGAGGTATTGCATCACAGACATTATTGCCTAAGTGCATAAGGTATCCTTACGCCACATCCTTAGGCAATCAACCTGAAATTGCATCCATTTCCTTGTTTTTTTAAACAAAACTTCCTGGAGTAGCTGAGAATGAATCACTAAACAAAAAGTGTGTAAGCAAATATTACACCCCCCCCCCCCCCCTCCCCTCCGAATAGACAGTATACAGTTCAGAATAAAGCTGCTCAGAATGATGCTATCAAATTGCTCAACAATTCTAAGTCTACTGCTGGTTCACACAGCCACACTGGTAGTCTGTTTTGGCTGTGTTCCAGAGAGGAGAACAGGTCAAGTAATACTGCCATTTTAGTGAAACACATAGTCCAGTCTCAATAATTCAAAATGAAGTTATTCACTGCAGATCCGGAAAAGCCTGATTTTGCTTGTCAGAATGACTTGCATATTTCCTGGTTTGGCTACTCTCACTATTCTGAAAAATCCCTCTCAACATTTCTGGCTCTGGGGTCCAAATCTAGAATCATCTTCCCATCTCCCAATCCTAAACTTAACCATTAGTGGGGGAAATGCAAAACGGACCCAAGATCAGCATCTAAGGGCAACCTCACCCTACACCACATTTTAGCCAGACGTTCACATTGGACCTGAGCATTACGCACACCAAACTCCTGTAAAATACAATGCAGACTGAGACAAGAATAAATACAAAGATTCTTAGTAAAAAATATTTATTTGGTCAACTTTAAGACACGGTCATGCTTTACATGGGCCCAATGCAACTGTTATGTTAAGACTTTTATATTTCATCAGATATCCCCCTCACAAAAGATGTGGTTTCAAAGGATGGCTTCATTTAATAAAAGTTCAGAACACAGCAACATTTTGCACATGAGAGCACGGCACATGATTTGAAAAGATAATGGGTGCTGTGCTGCGGTCACACAGAGCTTGTGAGGAGGAGTTAGTATTTATTGAACGGTAAACTGTTGAAAGTCCAGTTGTTGCCTTTTGAGTTACAGCCAAGGACATTTTCCAAGGTGTGACCATACTTGCAAGGTGTGACAATACTTTATACTTAGAAATGCAAATCACACCCATATTGGCATGATTTCTACTCCCCACCATTGCCTCTGTGTGAACAACACTTGGACGGTTTAGTTTGCCATGTTGAGAAGCTTCTTGATGTCACCCTCAACGTTGCTGGTCAGGAATCTCCTGCTGTAGCGCTTGAATGGCTCTCCGTCTGGCCCGATGAGAAACTTCTCAAAGTTCCAGGCGATGTCATTCCTGCCAACGGGACTCCAGATGATGCACTTGGGGTCATTCATTAAGGCCATGGGCTCGTCGCTTGGGAACGGCAGCTTCTCCTTTAGGTACACAAACAGGGGGTGGGCGTCCTTCCCGTTCACATCCACTTTCTCAAGGAGCTGGAACTTGGGCTCAAAGCCATTTCCCGGACGGACATACTTCAAGGACATCCGAATCTCTTCGTTATTGCAGTTCTCCTGCAGGAGTAGATTGTGGGAAGAATGTAACATGTACAGGCAAAGTTTGATGTTTGACCTCAAGTGGTCTATCAAAATGAGTCCCTTGTCCAAAGTCATAACCAGAACCCTCAATAAACGTGAAAGAAACCCACATGTTCTTTCCCCTTCATTTGGGATTGAGGAATATAGAATCTGGCGTGGGACAATGTCCAAATAGGCACAGGTCACACACACACACGTTAATTGAACAACAGCAAGAACAGTTTAATTTGTGCTCCACCTGCCCACCACACTCCACCTGCCAACCGGTCAGAGTAGAGACTGGTCTGCACCTTGCAAGTTTGCATTGATGATGAGCTATGATCAGAAATAATAGTTATTACCCTATATTAAGAGTTGAGAAATCCATCACCCCCAGCCTTACCTGATGTCCGAATTGATTGCAGGGCACCCCCAGAATCACGAGCCCCTTGTCGGTGTACCGTTCATGGAGCTCGTTCATCTGGGTGTAATCCCTGGTGGTCGTACCTCAGAGAGACGCCACATTCTCGATCAGCACCACTTTACCCTCAAGCGACGAGAAATTCAACAATTCTCCTGAAAGTAGCTTTGCTGTCAGGTGGTAGAACTTACTTCCAGACATTTTCCTTGTAGACGTCAACCACGCTTATGTCTGCTAAAATGGCCTGTTGCTGGACTTTTTATACAAGGGGTGTGATCATTAGTCCAAACAGTTGCGTTTTGCAACGAAAACGAGTTTCTATTGGACAAATTCAGGTAGGTTCCTCCTCGTTTCGTTCAGTTTGCTTCTGTTTTAGAAACGTTTTGCAACAGAATCGGCGTACTGAATCAATACGGCCAAGGTCCTCAACAGGGAAATGGGAGGTACTTCCTGAACATTTTAGGGACAGTTTACATTTTTTGGTATATGTTGTATAATTAAAATCGCATAAGCATGCTTTATCCAGAACAATTAACAATGTTCATGAAGAATATAAGACGATACAAATGATGACACCCCCTGAGCGTCTAAATCAAGTCGCAGCCATGCGTTTCACAGGTTTTGCTATCGCCACTGTCTGGACTTTATAGAAGGTCCCTCATTGTAAAAGACGCGCGGGAATCCTGTCCTGTAGTTTGACAACAGTTGCTCTCACCAGTTCTTACAGTAAGTTTCATTCTTTGCTATTCTTCCTAGCTAAGTAAAATAAAGTACTTGATGCAGACCTCGCTTCCGTGACAATCCACTCTAACAATATTGCAAGTTAGAGAGTTAACGTAAGTAGGAGTAACCACCTAGCCAATTTCTCAACCTAACAATGTTAGCAAGCTAGCTACCTTCGAGGGCAACTTGTGCCAGTAACATTGCAGGCTGTAAAATGGCCTGTTAACCATGAATTTCAGCGTCATATCATCATCCAGATTCTTTCAGCCTCTGTGAACAGGTAATGTTAGCAAGCTACAAACAAACAATTGCCATGTTTTATAACTAAACCAAGATAGACCATAGCCTGTCGTTTCCAATGGAAACAAATTAGTCATAGTGGGCAGAACAAGCAAGGAGGTGGGCAGAGCCAACCACGAGCTAGCAAGATCCTATTGGCGCGTTGTAGCATACATCTGCATATATCCATTAGGGGAACGCCTCCTCTTTGAAGTACGCGTGTGCAGTAACTAAATTCTCATTTGCACTCCTAAACAACGCGATTTTTATAAACGTTTGCAAAGGGTAAAGTCTACAAAACTTAGTCTACTCTGTTCATAACAGATTCTAGTTTTGGGAACAAAAAACTGTATTGAGATCAAATGTTTAATTGATGAGAAAATTTGCAGAATGTAGGCCAAAATCCATCTCGTTCCATCTTCTTCCAATGCCAGCCAGTGGGCTTCCTCTCACTACCATATTTGGTAGTGAGGAGAAACGCCAATCAGATGCTTCACATTTATACATTCGGTGAAATATCTTTCTCATTGTTCTATCCGGTAACATTTTACAGACTATGATGCGAAAGAAGAGACGCCCCTCTGTGGACAAAAGCGAAAGTGCTGCACCACCAGATGTGTCAAGTAAGGCTCCCAAACAAACCAAACCACCAGACTGAGTCTGTTTACAACTTTGTCTGTCTCGTGCCATGAGTCCAATGCACTAACTAGCTAGCTACATGCACTGTGGGTCAGTTCATTAGGGCTCTATCCCCTCCCTCATTCAGAGTCCAAGAAGAGTAGGACCACTGGCCGTCAGTCCAAGACCATGGCTCAGGAGGGCACCCATATTGACTCTGTCTTTGGCCAATTTCTGCACGAGGCTGGTGTTATCTTGAGTCAGGGCAGTACATCCAATGAGATTGGTAAGCAAGACACACACCCTCAACAGTCACTCATAAACATATTGACTGACTATTGTTTTAAACTGGAAATTGTTGGATAATGCATAATTGTATTGCTTTGTAAGCTGTGGACCAAGTGGTTTTCCAAAAGAGACTGCAGCAACGACTGAAAAAGAGTCCCAGATACCCCGGTGTGAGTATAATGTTTCAAATACTGTCTTTGGTATTGCACGTTCTATAAAGCGTGTTGCCTAATAAAGCAGACTGTGATACCGCCATGGTTACACTGAGATTAATGCCATACATTTGTTTGGAACATGTCCCTTCATGAGCTCAACAAGCCAGAATGTTGAATAACATTTCATTTGAACGTACTCTATCAGTTGTCTGGTTGGTCCTTATTCGGGTTGAAATTTGAGAAGAAATATCCACAAGAAACTATTATTAACCCGACTTTTCAAAACGCTGGTACTGTCATTGCGATTTCTATCACCTGGCACATGCGCAAAACCATGTAAACACCTGCAAGACTTCGGTTATTCTGCATGCATTGTGTGCATGTACTTCCGTTTTGTGCGTGTGCCTTAGGTGATGAGCAAACAAATTGTGATAACCACAAACTGAGACTGCGTTTTGAAGTTGGTTTAATAATACTTTCCTGTGGGTATGTTATCTTCATGTTAGAGACGAGAGTCGACAGTCCACACTCAAAATTGTAAAGGCTATAAAACGTGCCTGATTTTCTAACCTTGATGGCCAACAGATTGTGCAGGAGTTCATCACAGGACTGGAGTCTCACATTGAGGATCCTGAGAGGTTCAGGAACTGTCTCCTCCCCTGTGTACCACGCCTGGCCGATGGGTACTCAAGGTAACCCCACACATCACACAGCCCTAAGGATAGCAGGGTACCTGGCTCTCTCAGTGGGGGCCATCAAATTCTAATAAAGCTTTGCTCAGTGGCAGTATAGAATTTTCAAATTGTTACATGGAAACATAAATGTCATTATGATTCGACACCTGTGTCACTTTGTGTCCTGTCTGTGGTCCAGCTCTGTCAGCTCATTTCAGGAGAGTCTGCTGCGCATGCTGCTGGGGATCGAGATGCTGCAGGTATGACAGCCTCTCTCTATGCAAGAACACATTGGCCTGAGTAGTGTCTGAACTGTGATGTCTTTCCTTGTCATTGGCCACTAGGTGTGAACTGTGAATGTAACCACAATTTCAAATGGAACCTGAAACCCACGTTCTTTTCTTTTTGTTGTAGACTTTGGTAATCAACACTTTGTTTGAGAAGCTTCCCGAGTTCATGTTTGATGGGTAAGGGCTTTTTTTTAAAAACATTTTGTTTGTTGCCATACACATACAAGTTGACTATATAGATTTTCTTGTACTCTAACCAAATTACCCTTTACATTTGCCTTTCTATTCCCTGTAGTGCTGGAGAGGATGGCCTCAATATCCCTCGTGTTATTGTCAACCAGCTCAAGTGGTTAGACAGAGTCATAGACAGCAAGGTACTCATATTACTATGACAGCAGATCTAACCTATACTCTACACTTATTCCACCTGTATATTCCCACTAAGTAGCAGGGCCTGACTGACTTCCTTCTGACCTAATTGTACCCTGTCACTATAGGAGTTAGCAGGTAAGCTGATGCAGCTGGTTTCCGTGGCGCCGGTTGAGATACAGCGTGACATCATCACCAGTCTGCCAGAGATCCTGGAGGACTCCCAGCACAGTGACATTGCCAGGGAGCTAAAGTGGGTGGAGCCCTGTTAGAGGCAGTCTAGTGTTGTGTGTTGTGATATGTGATGTCATGATAAGATGTTCACATCACTGGGACTATCTGCTGTTTCTCCCCCCTATTCTCTCTCCTTTCCTCTTTAGCTCCTTACTCCAGGAAAACACTCAGCTGACTGTGCCAATCCTGGATGCCTTCTCAAGCTTGAATCTGAGCTCCACTCTGTTGGCTGAGGTAGCCCCCCACACACAAACACACACATGGTCTGTAGTCCATTTATTGTTGTTTCTGGCTAAAGCTCTCATTGGGGAGTCAATAAGAGTAGAATTACACTGTGTTGGATCTGTTCAATGATTCATGATGTGTTCACAGCTCAGGGCTTATTTACGCAAAGGTGTATTTCACTCACCGACACTGACATCATTTGTCCCTGAAACAATTATGCTATTGACTGATTGCCTATGTACTTACATTTATCCTGAGGAAATTACATCAAGTGGCTCGTTGACTAATAGCTGCCTTTAGAGTAACTATAGTCTATGAGCGTGGTTCTTACTTAGATGTGTCAAAGTCGCGTCAATTCAAATCTGGTATTAGGAACAAAAGAGGTCAACACGACTTCTAAGATATACTAGTTATTTTAATTAATGCAAAAACCTTCAATGGTAAATATGATGTTTCGTATATACGGGCTCTCTGAAATACCTCACAGGGCGCTTCAGAGAACTAACAACATTGTTTTAGAAACAATACCCAAATACTCTGACAGAGAAAGTTTCCCACTTCTCTGCTGGCCAATTAGAGTAGAGGACTGAGTGTGGTTTAAACTTACTCAGCCAATCCATTGATTCAGGGGTTGGTCTCATCTCCTTGGCGCCATTTGTTGCACACTTCAGCCAGGCACAAGATTATCATAACAACCTATCATAGTGAGAAGAGCCAGCTCCCTTATACATCATTCCTACGTCCAAGGAAGGCTCACAGATCACAAAGAACCAGTATAGTCTAGCATTTGAAGACACATCCTTATCTCATTTTACCCCCTAAAACAGCTCTTCACATCAATCACAGCCTTGCCAGGTGTCACAGCCTACATTAGCCCAGTCAAGAATGCATTCTTTCTAAGTTAGTCATCCCATCAATTTAGGAGAATGATAAATCCCCAATAGATGAGACAGTCATTTTCTATTTACACATACACATTTGTTTTGCATCTACAAACTGCTCCTTTACCACAAAGTTGTACTAAAAATCAATACATTACAACGATACAGACAATATTGCACACCCCATAATGTACACTTGTCCTAAAACGTCTGGTGTCTCTGTGGTCCTGTGTGTCAGGTGCGTGTGGCTGTCATGGCCACCCTATCTGCTGTCCAGCTGGAGGACCTGCCTGTGGTGGTGAAGTTCATTCTGCACTCCATCTCTTCCTCAGACGCCCTAGAGGTCAGAGGTCACACACAGTGGTGTCACTGCATGTAGTCTTGCACATCTCTTTCTAATAACAAGAACAAATGAAAAGTGCCTCACAAATAGTTTCTATATGACCACCACACAAAATGTTTCCCCATTACAGACCACAATCTGCAGTGATGATGATGTGTATTGGTCTCACTGAGTGGTGCCGGGTTCTCTGTGGGGTATCAGGTGGTGTGTGACCTTCGGAAGAAGCTGGAGCTGGAGCTGTGTGTTTTCCCTCTGGTGCTGCAGGCTTCTCAGAGCCGCATGAAGAACAAGGGGACAACCGAGTGAGACACTTTGCTCCAACACACTCCAACACACTTAAACACCAACACACTCCCATCACCGCAGAGCACCAGTGCATACTGTTATCAATCCACATAACACTACCTTTAGTGGGATTTTACATTTAAAATTATTCTAAATGGCAAGGCCACTTGTATTAGTTTCTGGTCAAATTTTTCCACCAGGTCCTCCAACACCTCAGCATCCAGCAGCAGCCAGGACAGTGTTGCCTTGGTGTTGGATGGCATTAAGTCTGCAGTGCGCTTCCAGAAGACCATCTCTGAGGCCTGGCTTAAGGTAGGGAGAATAGGTAACGCTACAGTCGTATATCAACAGCCAGTAACTATTTCACCATGTGACTCTCCCTGTGTTGTTCTGCAGGCCATAGAGAATGTAGACACTGCAGAGGATCACAAGGTAAGTCTGATACATCTTTCTCTGATTCTCCTCTTCTCTCTATGCCTACAATTTCATATGGGCTGGTACTTGGCAGATTACTTGTTGATCCTGTGTGTGTGTGTGTGTGCGCGCGCACGTATTTGTGTGTCTGTCGGTCAGGTCATTGACCTGCTGGTGCTGTTCATCCTGCACTCCACCAATGCCAACCACAGCCGGCGTGGGGCTGAGAGGGTGCTGAAGGTCAAAGTGAGAGCAGGACAGATCCAGGAGGCTTTGCTACAGAAAACCTTCAGGGGCTACGCACAGGTGGGAAAGTCCTGTTACAGTAGTCCTGTCTGTCTCTAAGTGAAGCTTGTCCTTGGCTCCATTCTTGTTCCTATTGTCGCTGCTCAATAGAACTCCGTCCGTGGGCAGAACGGCGCTAACTCTGAACGTCAACTGACAAGCTAGTGGCTATAGGTTCCAGTGTGATAACATGGGCTTTTTCTAAATGAAATCCATAGAATACTAAATAAAATTGGGCCTAATATATACACTGCTCAAAAAAATAAAGGGAACACTAAAATAACACATCCTAGATCTGAATGAATGAAATAATCTTATTAAATACTTTTTTCTTTACATAGTTGAATGTGCTGACAACAAAATCACACAAAAATTATCAATGGAAATCAAATTTATCAACCCATGGAGGTCTGGATTTGGAGTCACCCTCAAAATTAAAGTGGAAAACCACACTACAGGCTGATCCAACTTTGATGTAATGTCCTTAAAACAAGTCAAAATGAGGCTCAGTAGTGTGTGTGGCCTCCACGTGCCTGTATGACCTCCCTACAACGCCTGGGCATGCTTCTGATGAGGTGGCGGATGGTCTCCTGAGGGATCTCCTCCCAGACCTGGACTAAAGCATCCGTCAACTCCTGGACAGTCTGTGGTGCAACGTGGCGTTGGTGGATGGAGCGAGACATGATGTCCCAGATGTGCTCAATTGGATTCAGGTCTGGGGAACGGGCGGTCCATAGCATCAATGCCTTCCTCTTGCAGGAACTGCTGACACACTCCAGCCACATGAGGTCTAGCATTGTCTTGCATTAGGAGGAACCCAGGGCCAACCGCACCAGCATATGGTCTCACAAGGGGTCTGAGGATCTCATCTCGGTACCTAATGGCAGTCAGGCTACCTCTGGTGAGCACATGGAGGGCTGTGCGCCCCCCAAAGAAATGCCACCCCACACCATGACTGACCCACCGTCAAACCGGTTGCAGGCAGCAGAACGTTCTCCACGGCGTCTCCAGACTCTGTCACGTCTGTCACGTGCTGTGTGAACCTGCTTTCATCTGTGAAGAGCACAGGGCGCCAGTGGCGAATTTGCCAAGCTTGGTGTTCTCTGGCAAATGCCAAACGTCCTGCACAGTGTTGGGCTGTAAGCACAACCCCCACCTGTGGACGTCGGGCCCTCATACCACCCTCATGGAGTCTGTTTCTGACCGTTTGAGCAGACACATGCACATTTGTGGCCTGCTGGAGGTCATTTTGCAGGGCTCTGGCAGTGCTCCTCCTGCTCCTCCTTGCACAAAGGCGGAGGTAGCAGTCCTGCTGCTGGGTTGTTGCCCTCCTACGGCCTCCTCCACGTCTCCTGATGTACTGGCCTGTCTCCTAGTAGCGCCTCCATGCTCTGGACACTACGCTGACAGACACAGCAAACCTTCTTGCCACAGCTCGCATTGATGTGCCATCCTGGATGAGCTGCACTACCTGAGCCACTTGTGTGGGTTGTAGACTCCGTCTCATGCTACCACTAGAGTGAAAGCACCGGCAGCATTCAAAAGTGACCAAAACATCAGCCAGGAAGCATAGGAACTGAGAAGTGGTCTGTGGTCACCACCTGCAAAACCAGTCCTTTATTGGGGGTGTCTTGCTAATTGCCTATAATTTCCACCTGTTGTCTATTCCATTTGCACAACAGCATGTGAAATTTATTGTCAATCAGTGTTGCTTCCTAAGTGGACAGTTTGATTTCACAGAAGTGTGATTGACTTGGAGTTACATTGTGTTGTTTAAGTGTTCCCTTTATTTTTTTGAGCAGTGTATTTTATATTTGAGATTCTTCAAATAGCCACCCTTTGCCTTGATGACAGCTTTGCACACTCTTGGCATTCTCTCAACCAGCTTCATGAGGTAGTCACCTGGAATGCATTTCAATTAACAGGTGTGCCTTCTTAAAAGTTAATTTGTGGAATTTCTTTCCTTCTTAATGCGTTTGAGCAGTTGTGTTGTCATATTATGGCAAGAACAGCTCAAATAAGTAAAGAGAAATGACAGTCCATCATTACTTTAAGACACGAAGGTCAGTCAATCCGGGAAATTTCAAGAACTTTGATAGTTTCTTCAAGTGCAGTCGCAGAAACCATCAAGTGCTATGATGAATCTGGCTCTCATGAGGACCGCCACAGGAAAGGAAGACCCAGAGTGCCCTCTGCTGCAGAGGATAAGTTCATTAGAGTTACCAGCCTCAGAAATTGCAGCCCAAATAAATGCTTCACAGAGTTCAAGTAACAGACACATCTCAACATCAACTGTTCAGAGGAGACTGCGTGAATCCGGCCTTCACGGTCGAATTGCTGCAAAGAAACCACTACTAAAGGACACCAATAATAAGAAGATACTTGCTTGAGCCAAGAAACACCAGCAATGGGCATTAGACCGGGGTAAATCAGTCCTTTGGTCTGATGAGTCCAAATAGAACATTTTTGGTTCCAACCGCCGTGTCTTTGTGAGACGCAGAGTAGGTGAACGGATGATCTCTGCATGCTTAGCTCCCACCGTGAAGCATGGAGGAGGAGGTGTGATGGTGTGGGGGTACTTTGCTGGTGACACTGGCTACCGCAAAGCTGTCATTAAGGCAAAGGGTGGCTACTTTGTAGAATCTAAAATATATTTTGATTTGTTTAACACTTTTTTGGGTACTACATGATTCCATATACTTTATTTCATAGATATATACGTTATTTCATTGATGTTGAAAATAGTAAAAACAAAGAAAAACACTTGAATGGGTAGGTGTGTCCAATCATTTGACTGGTACTGTGTGTGTGTGTATATGTGTATATATAACATACACACAAAAGTATGTGGACACCCCTTCAAATTAGTGGATTTGGCTATTTCAGCCACACCCGTTGCTGACCGGTGTGGTCATGCAATCTCCATAGATAAACATTGGCAGTAGAATGGCCTTACTGAAGAGCTCAGTGACTTTCAACATGGCACCGTCATAGGATGCCATCTTTCCAACAAGTCAGTTCGTCAAATTTCTGCCCTGCTAGAGCTGCCCCAGTCAACTGTAAGTGCTGATATTGTGAAATGGAAACGTCTAGGACGACAACGGCTCAGCTGCGAAGTGGTAGGCCACATGAGCTCACAGAACGGGACCGGCGAGTGCTGAAGCGTGTAAAAAATGTCTGTCCTCGGTTGCAACACTCACTACCGAGTTCCAAACTGCCTCAGGAAGCAACGTCAGCACAATAACTGTTAGTCGTGAGCTTCATGAAATGGGTTTCCATGGCCGAGCAGCCGCACACAAGCCTAAGATCACCATGGGCAATGACAAGTGTCGGCTGGAGTGGTGTAAAGCTTGCCGCCATTGGACTCTGGAGCAGTGGAAACGCATTCTCTGGAGTGATGAATCACGCTTGACCATCTGGCAGTCTGACTGACGAATCTGGGTTTGGCGTATGCCAGGAGAACGCTACCTGCCCCAATGCATAGTGCCAACTGTAAAGTTTGGTGGAGGAGGAATACTTGTATGGGGCTGGTTATCATGGTTCGGTTTAGGTTTTTAGTTCCAGTGAAGGGAAATCTTAACGCTACAGCATACAATGACTTTCTAGATGATTCTATGCTTCCAACTTTGTGGCAACAGTTTGGGGAAGGCCCATTCCTATTTTAGCATGACAATTCCCCCATGCACAAAGCGAGGTCCATACAGAAATGGTTTGTTGAGATCAGTGTGGAGAAACCTGACTGGCCTGCACAGAGCCCCGATCTCAACCCCATCGAACACCTTTGGGATGAATTGGATCGCCGACTGCGAGCCAGGCCTAATCGCCCAACATCAGTGCCCGACCTCACTAATGCTCTTGTGGCTGAATGGAAGCAAGCCTTCCCAGTAGAGTGGAGGCTTTTATAGCAGCAAAGGGGGGGACTAACTCCACATTAATGCCCATGATTTAGGAATGAGATATTATACAAGCAGGTGTCCACATACTTCGACGAGCAGGTGAAAACTTTGCCACAGATGGAAACCACTGGCCTATCTTTGACTTGGCCAACTGTTTTTATCTCCACATTTTTGGCATCTTTCATAAATTGCGGCCGCCAATCCACCATAGAAATTGTTAGAAAGAATAAGATGAAGTTCCGTTAATATGGATAACATTTGAAAGAGGGCTAATATGTGTTTTCCTACATTGTAATGGACACAATGCAACCTTTAGTAGGTAACGTTAGGCTGCTGGCAGGCTTTGGCTGTGGTACAGCAAAGCCAAGTCAGCCTGTGCTCATGGTTCTCACAGGGGAAATTAAATGATAGGCTACAATGACTTTGCTCATGGTCATGCACCCCGCAAATTTACATGTAACTATAAGTTCCTTGAATTTTCTTTCGCGGATGCCTTTTCATTATCTTGATAGACACTTGTGGTTTCTAGCTAACGTGTAGTTAAGCAAAACTTTAGTGGTCAAAACCATTCATCTTGGGGGAGCGGGTTTGCAAAATGCTATCATATCATGCAATTATACCATTTTATAAAATGGTCAGAGATACAGTGCAATTGGAAAATATTCAGACCCCTTGTCTTTTTCCACATTTTGTTACTTTACAGCCCTTTTCTAAAATTGATTAAATACATATTTTTCCTCATCAAGCTACACACACACACAGTGAAAACAGGTTTTTAGAAATTTTGCAAATTTCTTACAAATAAATAACAGATACCTTATTTACATAAGTATTCAGACCCTTTGGTTTGAGACTAGAAATTGAGCTCCGGTGCATCTTGTTTCCATTGATCATCCTTGATGTTTGTACAACTTGATTGGAGTCCACCTGTGGTAAATTCAATTGATTGGACATGATTTGAAAAGGCACACATCTGTCTTTATAACGTCCCACAGTTGACAATGCATGTCAGTGCAAAAACCAAGCCACGAGGTTGAAGGAATTGTCCGTAGAGTTCAGAGACAGGATTGTGTCGAGGCACAGATCTGGGGAAGGGTACCAAAAAATTTCTACAGCATTGAAGGTCCCCAAGAACACAGTGGCCTCTATCATTCTTAAATGGAATAAGTTTGGAACCACCTAGACTCTTCCTAGAGCTGGCCGCCCGGCCAAACTGAGCAATCGGGGGAGAAGGGCCTTGGTCAGGGAGGTGACCAAGAACCCGATGGTCACTCTGACAGAGCTCCAGAGTTCCTCTGTGGAGATGGGAGAACCTTCCAGAAGGACAACCATCTCTGCAGCACTCCACCAATCAGGCCTTTATGGTAGAGTGGCCAGACGGAAGCCACTCCTCAGTAAATGGCACATGACAACCCACTTGGAGTTGAAGAAACCAAAATTGAACTCTTTGGCCTGAATGCCAAGCGTCACGTCTGGAGGAAACCTGGCACCATCGCTACGGTGAAGCATAGTGGTGGCAGCATCATGCTGTGGGGATCTTGAGCTCCTGAGTGGTGCAGTGGTCTAAGGCACTGCATCGCAGTGCTAACTGTGCCACTAGAGATCCTGGTTCGAATCCAGGCTCTGTCGCAGCCGGCCGCGACCGGGAGACTCATGGGCGGCGCACAATTGGCCCAGCGTCGTCCAGGGTAGGGGAGGGAATGGCCGGCAGGGATGTAGCTCAGTTGATAGAGCATGGCGTTTGCAACGCCAGGGTTATGGGTTCGATTCCCACGGGGGGCCAGTATAAAAAAAAGAAGAAAAAAAAAGATATGTCTTCACTAACTGTAAGTCGCTCTGGATAAGAGCGTCTGCTAAATGACTTAAAATGTAAATGTAAAAATGTTTTTCAGTGGCAGGGACTGGGACACTAGTCAGGATCGAGGGAAAGATGAACGTAGCAAAGTACAGAGAGATCCTTGATGAAAACCTGCTACAGAGGAGGACCTTAGACTGGGGCGAAGGTTCACCTTCCAAGAGGACAACGACCCTAAGCACACAGCCAAGACAACGCAAGAGTGGCTTCGGGACAAGTCTCTGAATGTCGTTGAGTGGTCCAGCCAGAGCCCAGACTTGAACCTGATCTAACATCTCTGGAGAGACCTGAAAATAGCTGTGCAGCGACGCTCCCCATCCAACCTGACCAGAGCTTGAGAGGATCTGCAGAGAAGAATGGGAGACACTTCCCAAATACAGGTGTGCCAAGCTTGTAGCATCATACCCAAGAAGAATCGAGGCTGTAATCACTGCCAAAGGTGCTTCAACAAAGTACTGAGTAAAGGGTCTGAATACTTATGTAAATGTGATATTTCAGTCTACAAGTGTTTATACATTCGAATTTTTTTTATAAAAACCTTTTTTTGTTTTGTCATTATGGGGTATTGTGTGTAGATTGATGAGGGGGAAAAAAACTATTTAATCCATTTTAGAATAAGGCTGTAACGTAACAAAATGTGGAAAGTCAAGGGGTCTGAATACTTTCCGAATGCACTGTGTGTGTGTGTGTGTGTGTGTGTGTGTGTGTGTGTGTGTGTGTGTGTGTGTGTGTGTGTGTGTGTGTGTGTATGTATGTATGTATGTGTGTGTGTGTATATATATATATATATATATATATATATATATATATATATATATATATATATATATATATATATAATTTTATTTTTTTATACAGACTAGCTAAAAAAATAAGTGCAAATTCATTTGTGCCATGGTTCAGGTGGACACAAGGCTGTTTGGCTCATCTCAGTCACGAAGAGGAATAACTTTGCAGCTGTTTCTGATGTATGAACAATGCCATGCTGGTGGATGGTAACATTCAAATAAAACCCTGCCCTGAAATGAAACGTTTGCTGAAAATAATTTGTATGTCATATCATAGGAAAAGACACCGCATTCACACGGATTTGAACGAAGTGGGCAGTTTGGATTTGTCACTTCAAGCCCAAATATAAAATACTTTGCCTAAAACAATGACTTATTGACTTAAATCGTTGTGCAACATCATGGGTAAGCTCTGGCCATCGTTTTTAGCTTGAAAAAGTGGATTTCTACTGACATGGGTGTTTAAGGTTCTAATATTGTAGAGAACAATCCATTAATAATTGTATGTGATTCGTAATGACATAGGGCAAAGAAAACTACGTTTAGACATTCATTTAGTAGCACCCTCTTGAATTTACCCGTATTTCACTACATTCTAGAGCAGTGAGTGAACGCCCTATGGTATACAGCTGAGGGATGGAACGGGCTGAGGAAAGGGAAGCCGATTTAGAAAATAAATAGTATAAGGTCAAGATGAGCTGTGTGACTGAGGTGTTAATGTGGTGCTGATGCTGTGTGTGTTTCAGGTGATGCGAGGTTACTTTCCCTCCATCTTGGCCCTGGCCCAGAGTCTGCTGCGTTCCCCTGACCCTTGTGTGGTGCCCATCGGTGGACACATGTACAAACTCTCATTCACTGCCTTTGACTCCTACTGCCAGCAGGTATGTGCGTGTGTGTATAATTGTATCTTTATGTATGTGTGCTGGCTAAAATATGCTTCATGTCCTCATTTCCATTGTCAAGAGTTTTCAGTTCTTGTTCTTTGTGTGAGTCTGTTCAATGGTATCTTATGGTTCTTTCTGTGTTGTCTTCTGTTAGGAGGTGGTGGGCTCCCTGGTGACCCATGTCTGCAGTGGAGTGGGTGGCGAGGTGGACGTGGCTCTGGAGCTGCTGTGTGGCCTGGTGACAGAGAAACCCTCTGAGATGGCCCTCTACGCCGTCTTCGTCAAGGTGAGGACTCAACTGTCCCCAAGACATGTCTCCAGCAGATCACAAGCCATCTATCTATTCTGTATTTGACTGAGAGTTGTCCTCAGCAGGGTCGGTGTTACTAACCTGTCCCTGGTGTGTGTGTGTGAAGGGTATCCTGGACTACATGGACAACCTGACTCCCCAGCAGATCCGCAGGCTCTTCCACCTGCTCAGTAGCCTGGCCTTCGGACAGCAGCAGCAAGGCACCCACATCCAGGTGAGGGGATCAGACACTGTGGGGCAATCATGGATATATAGGCCTATTCAATTTCTATGGGAGCAGCACTGAGTGCTGTACTGTGTACCTACCTACCATCTCTGTGGTGTGGTTATGTGGTGCCCACCATGACTATATACTGTTTTTATCTGTATATCATTCTCTTGTATCTTTCTCCCCGTGTCATTCTTTGTCACATATCCACATCTGTTTCCCCTGTCTCTGTTCTCCTCAGGATGACATGCACATAGTGGTCCGTAAGCAGCTCTCCAGCACCGTGCCCAAGTACAAGCGCATCGGCATCATCGGTGCTGTCATGGTGGTGGGCAGCATGGGGGCCTGCAGGTACGAACTGCTGCCCTCTCACATCCACTCTGCACTTACAGACTTAATCCTGTTAGCTCCTGGTGGAAAAAAGAGCCCCAACAATGCTTCTCATTTTTCCACTCAGTAGGGAGACTAATTATAGTGCCTCAATATAGTTTCCATTTCTCAAATTCTGTATTCATCTGAGTCTTGTCTCTAGGCCCAAAGTTGAGGATTCTCAAGGTGGCACATTGCCCAAGGAGACATACAGACAGGTGAGGAGTATAGGCAGGACTACTGTCTATGTACAGTCTGAATAAAGGGCTGATCCACTGTCTCTCAGAGAGTTTTCCTTTCCTGGTGCTGGGAGAATGCCTGTAAGTGGATGGTGTGTGCTGACCTCTCTGTGTAGGTGACGGCTCTGCTGGAGCTGGTGCGGTCGTGCAGTGACAGCTCTCCTGAAGCTGCTGCTCTCTACTATGACGAACTAGCCAACCTGGTGCTCACCTGCACTCTGGACCCTCTGGTGCAGGTCTGCCTCTCACATACACCCTCAAGACACACGTTATAGCTCTTTTATGGTCCTCTTTCAAAGATACTTTACCTTTTATCATCCAAATGGACCCTTTATTGTAGATTTTAAACACTGGGACACTGCCATATTTTAAAGGGTAGCTATTAACCCTGCCACTGTGGATCTGGTGTATTCACTCAGGCCTGGATAGGGAAGAGTGTGCTGGAGGACTTCCAGGAAGACTTTGTGGTGGATCTTGGACCAGATATAACTGGGTGAGTGAGTGGTGCACTACTGTCCAGGGAATGGGTGGGGGTAATATAGGTCAACTGCATACGGCTGGCAGCAAGTCATTACAGAACTGTACTTATGTTATGTCTTGACGTTTCAAGAAATCATCAATGTGTATTTTGTAAATAGTGTGTTGTGTAGCCAGTTGTCCTGACCATGTAACCGGGTCCAGGCCCTAGTAATAACTTACCTTCTGCTGTCCCTCCTCCTGTATGTCCTAGGTCCTTCCCCTTCCCCGCTTGTATGATGTACAACCTGGACGATGAGGAGAGTCAGGGAGGCATCGCCATCAACCTGCTGCGACTACTGTCTGATGACCTCCAACACAAGGGGGAGCTGTGGAGCCAGACTGGGAAAAGCAAGACACAGAGGTCAGACACTAGTTTGGCTACAGATTTGATTATCTAATGCAAAACAATGCAGAATGTCCATACAGAGTTTAATCATATGGATAAAGCAATAGATTTCAGTTGCTGCCAAACTATGAAGTGTTATTGAATGGTTTGAAGTGGATCATCTAAACAATGTATTTCTCTCTGTTCTGTGTGGTACTATAGGCGAGTGTCTTCTCTGTGCCTGTCTCCGTTCTTCCGGCTGCTCAGGCTGTGTGAGGAGCAGCAGCATCAGGGAGACCTGGAGGAGATAGATGCCCTACTGGGTGAGGAGGAATCCTGTGTTTTGTCTGATGGAGCAGGAACACACATCAACTGGTTCTCACTGGGCCAAAAAGTCTACTGAACTATGTACAAGTACTTTTTGAAAATGAGAACACTTCAGGCACTGTAGATCATGTATGGCTAGTAACACAGCAGCAGACACATGGTGTTTCAACACGGCCTGCTGGGAGTGTAGTAGATCTGCTCTGGTTCTTGCAGTTCTAATGGGAGTTTGTATGTGTGGGTGTCTGTTTGCAGGCTGCCCTCTGATCCTAACTGACATGGATGTGGTGGAGAAGTCCGAGAGCCTGTCCAAGCCTGAGAGAGAGTTCCTCTGTGGCCTGCTCTTCCACACCATCAACTGGTTTAGAGAGGTTACTACAGCTCTGTCTTAGATGAGAATTCTGGTCTATAGCAAGACACGTATATTTGCTGTGGAGTCCATATGATTTCTTTGTGTTTTATATGCCAATGTGAGTGTATTTTTGCGCACAGACCTTTAGTGTGTACGTGTGTGTTTTTCAGGTTGTGAATGCATTCTGCAGTCAGAAAGATCCTGAGATGAAGATGAAGGTGGTAACTCGTCTTCAGAACATCACCTACCTCCAGACTCTGTTGGAGCGGACTTTGGCAGGTACTATACTGCCCTGAAACACTACTATAACACAATGGACAGGAAATTAAAATGTCAACCCCATTTTATCAACACTTTTCTGATCAAAATGTTTAAATCTTACATGCTTTAGAAAATGTGAGAATTCCATGGACTGTTATTTTGACTATCCCTGCTTTTTTTGTTTCAATTAATTTGACCATTCCTGCTTTTGTGTTTCAGCAACCCCTGGCTATGCTCCTCCTCTAGCCAACTTTGATGGGGAGAGTACAGACGGAGCTCCACTGCCTAGCTCCTCTGCTGCTCCAAAGAAGGGAAAGAAAGGTAAGCAGGCCTAAAAGGGACATACCTTCCTCTGTATACTGACCAGGGGAAATATAAGAAAAAATATTCCTCTTTCCTGAGATGAGATTCAACACTTATTGTGGTGGTTGTCTTGCAGAGGGTACTGGTAAGAAGAGGAAAGCCACTGCTAAGAACTCGTCAGCAGACACCTCTCAGCTGGAGGAGGGCACGGAGGCAGAGGAGACCCAGCAGGTTAACACCCACACAGAGGTCTGACCTCTCACCTCCGTCACATGATGTGACTGTTACACACAATACTCTCTTTATCAGGACTGGAATTTAAATGATATTTTCTTGTGTTCCTTCTACCCTGCAGGACCATGCAGAGAAGGAGAAGGTTCAGGAGGCCAGCAGACCTGGGGTCAGTCTGGTTTCCTACCGGCCCTTCTTCAGGGAGCTGGACATGGAGGTGCTCAGTGTGCTACAGTGTGGCCTGCTCTCCCGCTCTCTGCTGGACAGTGAGCTCCACAGCAAGGTAGGACACCACCCAGCCCAGAGCCTACACACCGTACACCATCAGGGTTGGGCTCTAATTCCATTTGAACTCCGCCAATTAATGAGTTGAATGGAAGTTCAATTACTGAATTGAACAATCATAGTAAAGGTGTTAGGCAATTATCACATTCTCTGAATTTACTCAGTTAACGCCAAATTGGCCCCAACCGTGTACCCTGTATGTGTCTCATACACATTCAAATAAAGCCAGGGACACTAGCTAGAATCCCTCCAATGTCTCTGTGTGCTGTAAAGAGATGCTGTGGTCTTGTGCAGGTGCGTGAGGAGGTGCAGCTGGGCCCAGCAGAGTTAGTCTTCCTGCTGGAGGATATGTGGCGCAAACTGGAGTTCAGTCTGACAGCTGCCCCTGCCAAGAGAGCCCCATTCTTCAAGGTAGGACACACACACACTGTGTGTGTTGTGTGAGTCATAACATAAGCTTCTCTTTCATCTTCCATATTGTCTCCTGGCTGCAGGGAAAGACAGACAAGAGCGTGGGTTTCTCCCACTTGCAGCAGAAGAGCCCTAAGGACATCGCTGCCTGCTGTGTCCAGCTGCTGCCCACTCTCTGCACCCACCTGGAGAACTGCCACAATCACTTCCAGGTGCACACACACAGCTTCATGTTTTTTTTGTTGCCAGGCACACATTTAGCTAATTGTTGTAGTGTCCCTCTTTGTGACCGTCTTTCCTGCTGTGTACAGACTCTTCTGTCTGAGAACCAGGGGGTGGTGGATGCCCCAGGCCTGGATGTGAGGGAGCACCAGCTGCTGTCCTCAGCCTACCAGCTCCTCCTACAGGTTCTACACACCACCTTCAGCTGGTCAGTCACACCTGGACACAACACCACCTGCACACTCCTGCCTTTCAGGACAGTATCCTCACCTTCAAGGAAATTACAATTACTCTGGGTTTGGCAACTGTGGTCCCGGAGAGGTTGGTGTTGTTTTGTTCCAGCCCGGCTCTAACATACCTGATTCAACATATGTGAATCAGGTGTGTTAGTGGGCTGCTACAATGCCTGCCCACACTGTCTCTCCAAGATCAGGTTTTTCCATCCTTGGGCTATCTCTATGGATCTGGTACTGTAGCCTACAGTCCTGTCAGTTGTATCAGTAGCTCTTGTGAATCACTCTTGTCAGGTCTGGTTTCTCCCAGCCAGAGCACCGTGGCCTGCTGAAGAGGACTCTGGGAGTGTTGGCTGACCGCCTGAAAGAGGGAGGGCCTGAACTGACCATGGACCAGCTCATCAAGTGAGTGGAGAAACATTCCCTGTCAGCTCTAGGTGAAGTGTGTGTGTGTGTGTGTGTGTGTGTGTGTGTGTGTGTGTGTGTGTGTGTGTGTGTGTGTGTGTACACAGTATGCTAAAGCTGTTCTCCCCTATCTATGGTCTTCAGACACAGCTTTGAGTACCTGCTGAACTTCCGCAGCACGGTTCCCAGCCTCAGCATAGCTCTGTGTCTCTCCCAGCTGCTCAGCACTGTGGCTGAGAGAGGAGGGCACCAGGCTACATACAGGGAGCAGACTGGTGAGACACACACACGCTCCATCAATTTCTATAGGATTGATGCAACAGTGAAATAGACTTTATCAGGATCAATTCTATGACAATCCAGTGAATTCTGAAGATTTATTGATATTCTGAAAAGTGGCATTTATTTTCGATGAGGATCAGCTCATCATAGAACGGTCTCTCCCTCTAGTAACCCTAGCCCGGCGGTTCCTGTGCCAGGAGTGGGTGACTACCAGCGGAGACAGAGAGAAAGGACCCAAACACAACGAGACTCTCCAAGCTCTCCTCAGGTGTGTCTCACAAGGATTCACTGATCATGTAGAGCAGATTAATAAATTAAAAGGATACTTCGGAATTTGGCAATGAGGCCCTTTCCCTACTTCCCCACAGTCAGATGAACTCGTGGATACCATTTTTATGCCTGCATGCAGTTTGGAGGAAGTTGCTAACTAGCGCTAGTGCAATTGCTAACTGACTTCCAGTCATTGCGCTTGTTAACATTGGCTTACGAAACTACCTCTAACTTCCTTAATACTGGACGCAGAGACATGCAAATGGTATCCACAAGTTCATCTCACTCTGGGGAAGTAGATGCATCCCGTTAAGTATCCCTTTAAGGTGGCCATGGCATGTCAGTATACTGCAGACACTGGAAAGGGTCATTTACTCTATAGGGGAGTCCCAACAGTCTTGTAACCTCATTTATTCCAGCTCTTCTACTGCTATTGTGGTTGCCATGCTCCCAGTGGCTGTAAGGTGAATGAAAATATTAATGGTGTTCATGATGTTCATTCCCTCCTCTCCTCTACACTCCCCTTCTCTGTAGTATTTACCTGGAGCACACTGATGATGTTCTGAAGGCGGTGGAGGAGATAGCTGGAGAGGGCATCCCTGAGCTCCTCAACGCAGCCAAAGACGCCAGCTCTAGAACTTGGCCCACTCTCAACAGGTAGGTGCTGGGACACACTGTACTACTACCACTATCTCTCCTGACCTCTACATACGAGGGCATTCAGTGACCCCCTGTCTGCCTTTGTTCACCTCTTTCTTTCTCTCTTGTCCCTCTCTCTCTAGGCTGACGTTCCTGGTCTTCTATAAGGGGATGATGGGAGAGCTGGAGAAGGCTGTAAGGAAGATTCCCCCTGGCAGAAACAGCGACAGTGCTGAGGTACACTGTTATACAACTGGACGCACATTCACAGACAAAAGCAGAGGAACTGCCAGTGGAGCTAGGTGGTGCTAGTAGCCATCGTGCAGTGACTATGATACACTTATGTGTGATTGCATACATTCAGCAAGCATTTGTGTGTGATTTATAAAGTTACATTATTAACCCTTTGCTGTGTCCAGGTGAAGAGTGAGAAGCTGCTGACGTGGAACCTGGCTGTCAGAGACTTCCACATCCTGGTCAACCTGGTTAAGGTACTGAGACTGTTTACACTGGGAGCTAGTCATGAATGGGTTAACCCTTATTCAAACAAATGATGTCTACTATGTGTTATGATTGTTCAATTCACTTTGGAAGATGCATGGCTGGAAATAGCGTTTAAATTACTATGCCCACACTAAACGACAATAGGGCCAGGACAATACCAGTATTGGAATATTTTTTCCATGACAAAAATGAAAACACGAAGCAGACCAAACTCTTTGGTCCTACCGTAAGTCAAATATTGTGTACTATAGCTTGGAAAATAAATAAATGTGACGCTGGATGACAACATATTGTTTGTTTGCAACATTAGGGCTGTTTTCCTAAATCAGCTCTGTTTTGTTTCCTTGCCAAGATACTAACGAGTATCGCGAGACTGGTATTGTCCTGGCCCTAAACGACAAGCATGTCAACATGTATTCCCCTGGGTGTTCTGCCTCTCCAACACACTCTGGATGGAGGGAGATTAAGACATCTGTCATGCTCTGCTGGCTCCATGCCCAGTGTGTACGTGTGTTTGGTGTGTGTGTGTGTGTGTGTGTACGCGTGTGCAGGGCTGTGTGTGCATGTGGATTGGCTCTCTGCTGGCTGGCTTTGGGTGTTGAGAAGCTAGAAGTAATGTGTTCTCCTTCATCTTTCCTCGTCAGGTGTTTGACAACAGACCAGTGCTCAATGTGTGCCTGAAGGTGAGTCTCAGTACATTGGCATTTGCTCTGCCTGCCACAGTGTCAGACACATTCCATAACTAATTATATTAATTGTATTTTTATGTTGTTGTCATTGTTGCTAGTATGGCCGTCTTTTCCTGGAGTCTTTCCTGAAGCTGGGGATGCCATTGTTGGATTTCAGTTTTAAAAAGCACAAGGTACAAGCCAAAAGACTGAGGGAAAAATACTAGAGAGAATGGTTTATTTCAAATTCAATAAGGAAACATTACATGGTGTCAATAGCAGCTCATGCTGAATTATTTGACACCATTTATAATAGTCATAAATACTAGAGCCCTGCACGGGCATTAATTTTAATCCTGAGCCCTACCCATGCCCGCATCGTTCAGGCCCTACCCTACCTAGGCCCAATTGCTTCTGCCAAATTAAAGGCCCTGCCCAAAATCAGAAATAGCTTCCTCCATTAGTAAATCCATTAGCTGCTCCTCTCTCTGTCACTCGCTCCCTGCGCGCTGCTCGCTCTGCTCATGGCGGCTCTGAATCTGAGTAACCATAGCAACGGCTCTGCTTGGGCTTCTCTGCTCAATGAAGAGACATGAGATAGCTGTTAGCTACTTTTCATCACTGAACTCAAGGAGCATTATTTTCTGTCTTATATTTGATAAGGTTGAAGCACTTATGATCCATGTTATGATCTTAGTCAGATATGACTGTACTACGCAGCAGAGCACAAACAAATGGCTCAGCTTTAAAATGTTAGTGATCAGTTTAGTGATACCCGAGCCCTGCCTGTACCCTAGTTATTGATGAAAGAACAGGGCCTAACCCCAATGTATAATGTTGGGGCCCGTCGGGCTCGGGTCGGGTAGCAGAGCTCTAATAAATAGACAAGAAATCCATCAACACAATAAAATCTACAACTTTAAAATAGTCAGTTGTTCAGTGTAATTTGGTGTGACTGTGTGTCCACTCTGTCTCAGGAGGATGTCCAGAGCCTGCTGAAGACCTTCCAGCTCAGCACCAGGCAGCTCCACCACATGTGTGGACACTCCAAGGTACAACCCAGCCTCCCAACACTGCTCCTGTCCTCTCCACAGAAACCTGTGTGGATGAAATATGTGTGAATGACGCTAGCCAACATATATCAGTGAAGTCTTGATTATGAGGATGTGTGTGACATGAAAAGGCATGTTTTGTCGTACTATTTGTGTGTGGTGACCTGTGGTGTTGTTTCCCAGATCCGCCAGGACACCACCTTGACCAACCACGTGCCAGCCCTGAAGAAGAGCCTGGAGCAGTTTGTGTACAGAGTGAAGGCCATGCTCACCCTCAACCACTGTCAGGAGGCCTTCTGGCTGGGTAACCTCAAGAACAGAGACCTCAAGGTACTGGCTGCCGCACTGGGGGGCATCATGTGTGTGTGTGTGTCAAGGGTGAAATTGTGGTCTATATATTGGGGGGGACAAATAGTAGATGGGGGGTCCTACCAGTAATATTTATTTTGACACTTTAAAACAAATTTCCTGCAATTCTACACAGTTTGATATTACTTAATATGCCTCTCTTTGAAAACACATTTAAGTGGAAGGATAAGTTTACATTTTTTGTCATTTAGCAGGCGCTCTTATCCAGAGCGACTTACAGTTAGTGAGTGCATACATTTTCATACTGGCCCCCCGTGGGAAACGAACCCAAAACCCTGGCGTTGCAAGCGCCATGCTCTACCAACTGAGCTACAGGGACTAAGTCATTAATGAAGGTATTTCAAGGGAAATATTAAGAAGACACAAAAGATGAAGACTGAGTTTTATGACATGACCCGCCAAACCGCGCTTCTTAACACCCGCTCACTTAACCCGGAAGCCAGCTGCACCAATGTGTCGGAGGAAACGCCGTTCAACTGACGACCGAAGTCAGCCTGCAGGTGCCTGGCCTGCCACAAGGAGTCGCTAGAGCAAGATGAGCTAAGTAAAGCCCCCCCCCCTGGCAAAACCCTCCCCTAACCCGGACAACGCTGGGCCAATTGTGCGCCGCCCTATGGGACTCCCGGTTACGGTAATGATACAGCCTGGGATCGAACCCCAGGCTGTAGTGACGCCGCAACTATGCGATGCACCACTCGTGAGGCCGGAAAGTTTTTCTTTGTAATGACAGAAACGCAGACGACTTGGTACTGTTTTGGTGCATTCGTTTTAGCCTGCCAGGGATGCCGGGTCAGCGCCAGCGGTGTTTTCATCTCGTTAAACTCGATCGAGCAGCCCAAAAATAATTCCAGCCAATGGGGAAAACCAGAAAGAACTCACCATCTTTTCTTCTTCAATCTGAGCCAGAGCGCTCTGACCCAATGAGAATTGGGGGGCACCAAGGGTGGCCAATCATATTTCAGGGGGGGCTGGTAGCCACCCCTCACCCCCCCCTGACTGAAATGAGTGGGGAAGGGGTGTGAATAGACAGTGACTGTCTATAGGCTGAGCGGAGTAGAGGCAGCACCTACATTTGAACACATTTTGACATGCGTCAGAGAGAGAATTTGCAGTTTTATAATGCTATTTTACACATTTTGTCATGAGGTTAAGAAAATTGTGCAGTTTAAAGCTAATTTCCTGCAATTCTACATATTCTGCCATGGGGCAGAGAGAAACATTTGCTGTTTAATAGCTCATCTCAGGCTATTCTTCACATTTTGCCATGAGGATGAGAGAACATTTTGCAGTTTAAAGCTAAGTTCCTGCTATTCTACACATTTTGTCATAGCATATGAACACGTCATAAGCAATCTGGGCCCCCAACCAAAATAATAATAAAAATAAAAAAGTATTGATTTTAAATAATTGTGGGGGATGAATCGACCTGTTCTGAATATTGGGGGGGACATGTCCTCCCATCCCCCGTAGCAATTTTGCCTATGGTGTGTGTATGTGTGTGTGGCCTCACATTGTGGGGTCAGACAGATGCCTTTGTGTTGCAGGGTGAGGAGATCCTCTCTCAGCGCTCACAGGGGAGTGATGAAGAGGAGGAGGAGGAGGAGGAGGAAGGCTCCCCGCTGCCTCAGGAGCAGTCAGAGGATGAGGTACTGGCCATAATCTACTTTTAAAGCTACTGTATTGAGTTAAATGTAATTGCTAAAATAATTTATCTTTGCTACATCTTTGATTTAAAACACAATGTTCTAAATTCCCATAAGGAAAAGAGACAGAAGCTATTTTGTGGCGTTTTATAACCTTTAATTTTCTGCAAGCTTTCTGTCTGTTGTAATCCCAAGAACAGGTAGATTTGTTGAGGATCCTTATGTAACATTGAGGTTTACAGGCAGCTGATAGGGAAATGGGCAGCTGTGTGTGGAACACTGGGCTGTTAAGATAAGGTGTACTGTTTCAGTTCCTGGCTAATTATTACTGGCAAGATCTATGAAACAACAGTGAGGCAGGTTCAGGAGCACAGAGCCCTGCTGTTAGACAGCCCTCTAGTCTACACTAATGGGGGGATTTGCTGTACAGCAGTGTTTCCCAAGTCCAGTCCTCGAGTACCCCCAACAACACACTTTTTTGTTGTTGTAGCTCCAGACAAACTCACCTGATTCAACTCATTGATGGCTTGATGATTCGTAGACAAGTTGAATCAGGTGTGCTAGTCCAGGGCTACAACAGAAATGTGTGCTGTTGGGGGTAGGACTGGATTTGGGAAACTGCTGTACAGTAACCCTTTAAAACACTGCTCTGTTTGTTTATCACACAGAGGTACTTACCTAGCTTAATCTGCTTGCAAAGGGAGATGTTTTACAGCCCAATGCCCTGCTGTGGCAGAATCACCAGAGATTTAGAATTTGTCCTGTTTCTTTCAGGCCCAGGAAAGCGACTCCGATGGGAGGAAGAATGGCAACCGGAAGGAAGAGGGGGACGATGATGAAATCACAGATGACTTGGATGATTAGGACAACGTGAAAGAATACTGTCATCTCTGTGACCTACTGACCTTCTGGTGTCAACAGACTCTAACCTTGCATAACCCATATCCCTTTGCCCTCCTCAGATAGGAATAGGTCAGGGAGTACAATGAAGGGATTCCTATTGCCTTGCTGCCATTGAGAAAATAGACAATTATGGGATTTCTGGGGAAGGAGGGGTAACAATAATAATAAATAATATGCCATTTAGCAGACGCTTTTATCCAAAGCGACTTACAGTCACATTTTTGTGTATGGGTGGTCCCGGGGATCGAACCCACTACCTTGGCGTTACAAGCGCCGTGCTCTACCAGCTGAGCTACAGAGGACCACATGTTAGTGAATGTTCTAAATGCTGCAAACAGCATTAGGGTGTGCTGAACTGATTCAGACACTAACGTTTGAGACTGTGAGAGAATGTATCTTATAAAATTCTGATGTTGCAGAAAGCAGTTGAGTGAAGAAAAGTTTGATTTACCTTGAAGATGCACTGAGTGTACAAAACAATGACAACTTCCTAATATTAAGTTGCATATGTTTGAATTTTCAAGATTATTTTCATTGGGAAGGCAGATAAAGCGTTTTTATCAAAAGCAATCACTTTTGCATGGGAAAACACAGAATCCTACTCATTACTCAGCCTGCTTAATCTGTTACTTTAGTTTTTTGCTTTTTCATGCCGGGGAGGCAGCCGGTTCCAAAATAAATGCGATACATTTTTCACCCCATACCAACTAAGCCTACCGGTGTGCCCAGGCCAGCTTAATCGAATACCCTCAATGTTTGCGAACATGAGAGAGCCTTGCTAACATTTTGTTTGTGAACTGGGCCCCTAGATGATGGATCAATTGATACAATGTGATTTACTGTATCATTCAAATACATACACTGCTCAAAAAAATAAAGGGAACACTAAAATAACACATCCTAGATCTGAATGAATGAAATAATCTTATTAAATACTTTTCTTTACATAGTTGAATGTGCTGACAACATAATCACACAAAAAGTCTGGATTTGGAGTCACCCTCAAGATTAAAGTGGAAAACCACACTACAGGCTGATCCAACTTTGATGTAATGTCCTTAAAACAAGTCAAAATGAGGCTCAGTAGTGTGTGTGGCCTCCACGTGCCTGTATGACCTCCCTACAACGCCTGGGCATGCTCCTGATGAGGTGGCGGATGGTCTCCTGAGGGATCTCCTCCCAGACCTGGACTAAAGCATCCGCCAACTCCTGGACAGTCTGTGGTGCAACGTGGCGTTGGTGGATGGAGCGAGGCATGATGTCCCAGATGTGCTCAATTGGATTCAGGTCTGGGGAACGGGCGGGCCAGTCCATAGCATCAATGCCTTCCTCTTGCAGGAACTGCTGACACACTCCAGCCACATGAGGTCTTGCATTAGGAGGAACCCAGGGCCAACCGCACCAGCATATGGTCTCACAAGGGGTCTGAGGATCACATCTCGGTACCTAATGGCAGTCAGACTACCTCTGGCGAGCACATGGAGGGCTGTGCAGCCCCCCAAAGAAATGCCACCCCACACCATGACTGACCCACCGCCAAACCGGTCATGCTGGAGGATGTTGCAGGCAGCAGAACGTTCTCCACGGCATCTCCAGACTCTGTCACGTGCTCAGTGTGAACCTGCTTTCATATGTGAAGAGCACAGGGCGCCAGTGGCGAATTTGCCAATCTTGGTGTTCTCTGGCAAATGCCAAACGTCCTGCACAGTGTTTGGCTGTAAGCACAACCCCCACCTGTGGACGTCGGGCCCTCATACCACCCTCATGGAGTCTGTTTCTGACCGTTTGAGCAGACACATGCACATTTGTGGCCTGCTGGAGGTCATTTTGCAGGGCTCTGGCAGTGCTCCTCCTTGCACAAAGGCGGAGGTAGCATTCCTGCTGCTGGGTTGTTGCCCTCCTACGGCCTCCTCTACGTCTCCTGATGTACTGGCCTGTCTCCTAGTAGCGCCTCCATGCTCTGGACACTACGCTGACAGACACAGCAAACCTTCTTCCCACAGCTCGCATTGATGTGCCATCCTGGATGAGCTGCACTACCTGAGCCACTTGCGTGGGTTGTAGACTCCGTCTCATGCTACCACTAGAGTGAAAGCACCGCCAGCATTCAAAAGTGACCAAAACATCAGCCAGGAAGCATAGGAACTGAGAAGTGGTCTGTGGTCACCACCTGCAAAACCAATCCTTTATTGGGGGTGTCTTGCTAATTGCCTATAATTTCCACCTGTTGTCTATTCCATTTGCACAACAGCATGTGAAATTTATTGTCAATCAGTGTTGCTTCCTAAGTGGACAGTTTGATTTCACAGAAGTGTGATTGACTTGGAGTTACATTGTGTTGTTTAAGTGTTCCCTTTATTTTTTTGAGCAGTGTATAATGTACAAGTTAGTCTTGTTTCCAGTCTGACAAGCTTGATTGAATGCATGAAACTAGTAAATAGTGTACCCAGCTCATTGGTCAGGGAACCTACACCGTTTACACACCATAGAGTGCAAGAGGATGCGGTGGTATCGTGCCAATATATTCGAGCTATTTTAAAAGAAAATCACCTGGAATAGCCAACAAGGCAATTGATAGTGTAATAATAATATACACAATAATGCAAAAATGTAATGTAATGGTTTTTATGATTAAAGATAAACAAAATGTCGAGCTTTATCGAAAAGGGACACCCCTTCATACGAGGCTTGATGGTTTATCCCGGAAGCATGTTCCTGTGTTTAGGGAAATAAACGGTGACTTGTTTAGCTATTCGGCCAACATCGCGCGACTGCCCTACCTTCACTTATCACCGAAAATATTACAAAAGCAAACAAGTTATTCTCGTTTTTAAATCACAAGCAATTCATATGGATTTTATTTTAAAATATCGTGAATAGCTGATTCATGACGTTCTCGGTTTGTAGTTTGTAGACTGTCCGCAAACTCGTGCTTCCCGAGGAGGTTCTTCTTTACACTTCATAGAGCTTGACATTGTCAGAACAGAACGTTTGACTGGGAAAGGGTTGAGTTGCATCAGTGGCAGCAGCTTTAGTGGAGACAATGTCTGACTCTATTATTTTAGCTCTGATAGTGTTTCTTATATTGTGTTTGGTTGTAACAGTGGTGGCAGCTATTGTGTACTCTGGGCTCTTCACTGAGGTCAATATCAAGACAGGGTCGCCTCCTATCAAAAACTTTACCATTGCCTACAAACTTCACAAGGGACCTTATAAAGACTGTGGTGCTGCCTTCACCGAGACTGTCAGTATTGGGCCAAAGCTCAATACCATCCGTGTGTCCTACGATGACTCCACAGAGGTAAGACACCTTCTGAACGGCATGCTGACCTGACTGTCATCTTGTGTCAGGGTGTGGGCGAGAGAATAACTCAATAAACTGTGTTCACTTCCAGATTTCTTTCTCAGTCAGCTCTTTTCAAAGGAACAAAGCTTGAATCCAGAGAGCTGAGTGGAATTCTGATTTGGGAGCATGAATAAAGTCAGCTGTCCAATGCCACGTTGCACAGCTGATGATTTTCCCCCATCTGTGGTTCCAGTTTACTTTGGCATTAGCATGCAACTGACTCAAAAATGGCAAACAGACCGTATGGACAAATCCTCCCTCCCATGAGTCAGATGGAAAAACAGAATTTGTCATTATGCTAAATATAGTGTAGTACTACACCCTGGCTGCAGTATGAATGCAATTATGTTCACTCTTACAGAGCTTGAGGGTAATTTATTCTGACACATTGGCTGTGAGAAGAAACTGGCTTGAGGGTAGTACTTAGTCCAGGCCAGTGTCTGTTTAGTGACTTTACACAGCAACAGTTTGTGGAGTATCCTTGGTCACGTCCTTCTTTCTCTTTTTAGTATACCTGTCCTGTACTGTAAAGCACCACCTATAAATAGATCACCACTCAGCTGAGAGCTGTAAGTTCCTCATTCCTCCTCCCATGAGCTCAGGTGTTTAGTCAAAAAGCTGTGGCAGCCACACAACAGCTGCCTGTTAGAGCTAGATGTTTACTGAGATCTCAACTAATGATAAAGGATGAACACAGGCTGGGTTGCCAATGGGACGGTCTGGATACACTCATGTGACCCAGTGGTAATAGGAGCAGACAGATACAGAAGCAAAAGGTTTATACATTTGTGATGTGAAATTCCTGCAAGACAAAACCCTGTACCTGAGATGCACACAGCCCAGTGTAGGCATATAATGATGGTGTTTGCGTGGGTTTTGTTGCATGTATTGTGGTTTGGCTTTGTGCTATTTGTGTAGCAGTTAGATGAGCTCTTTGGATAGGATAGTTATATTGTGTTATGTCAGCCTCTGACATTTGAGTGCTGGGCATTCCCATGAGCACCAACATGTGAAGTTCATAGGAGCATGTCAAATTGGGTGTCAAATGAAAGCTGAGTCTATATCTTTGAGAAATTAAGGCGTACAGTGACTATCATAAGTAGCCTATTCACCCCACTTGGAATTTTTTACACTTTGTTGCGTTACAAAGTGGGATTGAAATGAATTTAATTGTTTTACATTTTTTGTTGTTCATCTACACAAAACACTGTCAAAGTGGAAGAAAAATTATATTATATACTTGATTACATAAGCATTCACCCCTCTAAGTCAATACATGTTAGAAACACTTTTGGCAGCAATTACAGCTGTGAGTCTTCTTGGGTAAGTCTAAGAGCCTTCCACACCTGGATTGTGCAATATTTGCCCATTTTATTATTTTAAAAATTCTTCAAGCTCTGTCAAGGTGTTGGGGATCAAGTCTTGCCATATATTTTCAAGCAGATTTAAGTCAAAACTGTAACTTGGCCACTCCGAAACATTCACTGTCTTCTTGGTAAGCAACTCCAATGTAGATATGGCCTTGTGTTGTAGATTTTTGTCCTGCTGAAAGTTGAATTCCTCTCCCAGTGTCTGTTGTAAAGCAGACTGAAGCAAGCTTTCCTCTAGGATT